TCTCTCTCCGTCTCTCTCTCTCTCTCTCTCTCACGCTCTCTCTGTCTCTCTGTCTCTCTCTCTCTCTCTCTCTCTCTCTCTTTCGCTCTCTCTCTCACCCTCTCTCTCTCTCTCTCTGTCTCTCACGCTCTCTCTCTCTCTGTCTCTCTCAGTCTCTGTCTCTCTCTCTCTCGCTCTCTCTCTCTGTCTCTCTCTCTCTCTCTCACGCTCTTTGGTCCAGCTTTAGTCTAAACTTCAGGGTAGAAAATAATTTACATTTTGCAGAAAATCCCATTGCTGGTTCTTTCTTCAACTTATTCTGACAGATAATTGTAGCTATACGATATGTAAAGGTCAGAGGTCGCTAGGAGACCCACTATTAAATACAAAACTGAAGCAGGTGAGGACATGGTCCTACGTGGTTCACAAACGTGCTCCCACTTCTGCCAGTTAATGAAAGGAGGTTCAAGAGTAAAACCTGGATTATTTATGATCAAAGGCAGGAATATTTCTGACTTTAGAAGAAAGAAAACCTTCTTGGTTGGTCAGCAGCAGGTTTTAGGTCTTCTGAGATGTAGCTCAGCTAAAAGCTGCTTTCTTTCCTTTTGTTCGTGAAAATAATTTCTGTTTTCCACTTTAGGATCTAGTAGATATTATTTTGTACTTGTGCGACTCAACCACAACCATCCATGCCTTCTTGGACATCTTCCCTGCAGCGTGCACCAGCTTCCACTCCCACGGTTTCCTCAGCAGGTAAACGGAGGAGGAACGCTCGGCTCCCACAGAGGTGGTTATTATAATTCCATCGCTGTCGTTTTTCCTCGCAGACTGACCGTGTTTTATGAGACCGCCGTGTCAGACCTGGAGAAAGCCGTCAAGAAGAGAAACTATGATGATAAAACGTAAGCATTTATCTTAATGGGTCACTTCTTCATGTCTACTTCAACAACAAATAAGAGATCTTGGTCCTCTTCTTTAGTCTGCAGGAGGAGTTGTGGAAAAGGTTGAGTCATTCCTGTCGTAAGATGGTGGAGACGGCCCACCTGCTGCTGCACCACGCCTGCCTCCAGCCGCTCCTGGAGGGGTGAGAAGATCTAGATCCGATGTAACAGGGTTAGCAACAGCCCATCACCTTGTGATGTTTTTTCTGTTGTGTTTCAGGAGAGAAAACATGCAAGCATTTGCAGAGGAGCTCTTGCAGTATTTCACATCATTTTTACCTGAAAAAAGGTGAGAAAAAGATGCAGCAGCAGAGCTTACCTGTGTTAGCCTCAGGTGTCAGCTGGAGCTCTGCGCTGGTCTGAAGGGGGCGGGTTCTGTTCGTATCGGCTCAAATTCAAAGATACTTTATTAATCCCAGAGGGAAATTAGAGTTTCAGTACACACAATTCTGAGATCAGACATACATAGGCATAGACACATGACAAGAATTGGTGACTGTGGTCATCCGCAACCCGAGTCGCGCTACCTTAATAAAGATCAGAGGGTTTACATGAGGATTGAGTCAGGTGGAGGGCAGCTTTGCTCTACAAAAAACATCTCAGACAGAAATGCAACAGACTTCAGACATCACACAACATAAGTGTCCACTAGGTGGGGTGGTGGGTTTGGGACTCTCCACACGTCAGTGCCTGCAGCCACGATAAGCAGCGCTCTTCACCTCAGTCTGGACAGGGGAGGAGGTCGTTGGGTTTACAGAGCACAGTGACTCCTGGAACGATTCAGCGGCCTTCACAGCTCGCAGTGACGCCCAGGCCGGGATAGGGAGACAGAGTTGCCATGGTGACGGCAGCATTCCACATTTCTTCGGGGGGGGCATTTGTTTCAGCTCCACTGGCTCAAGGGCACCAGATTCAGATAAGAGCTTGTTTAGGGGCCAGACGGAGATAATTTCTTCTCTGTCTTACCCCTTCTTTCCACCGGAGCCGTCAGCAGCACGTTACTGCAGCAGCACGTCTTGCTCGCGTGAGCTGCTGCTTGGCCCTTCCTACGAGACGTGAAGCAGCAGGGGAGCAGCTGTCACCGACAGACCACAAAGTCACACGAATGACTTCGTCAGTAAACACAACAACAAGCAGGAGAAAACTACAACACGGCTCCAAAAGGTTTGTGTTTTATGTTCTGTCCGTTTTATAATCGCCAATACGGACCTGAAAAACAAAGGAGACCGCTAGCTAGGTGATAACTTCTCACGGGGCCGCACAGTTAGTAACTTTTTTTTAAAGTAAAGCAACCGGAAGGCAGTACGTTCTTTATTCTGAAAATCTCTGAAGCTTCGCTCCATTTCCACGTCCGATTTCCTTTCTTCCCCAAAAATGTCGAACTTGATCCGTTTCAGAGGCGTCGTGCGTAGAAAATAGAACCGGCGCGTAAAGGCCGCAACATGCTGCTCCTGAGACGCGGCCGACTCGCGCTGCTGACGGCTCCTGTGGAAAGAATGGGCTTAAGTTCCGCTGGTCCTCCAACTCTCAAAATCCAATAATGGCGTAGATTAATCTATCCCAATCCGTGCTGATTCGTCCACTCTACCCTTGATGGCATCCAACTTTGTGCCAACATATGAATCTCAGCCAAAGTTCCAAGCTTACGACTCATCTCGACAATTATGAGTCTGTGCATTCACAGCGCGGTGCAATCCATCTCTGAGCTCCGGGAGTGAGCCAATATTCCTCAACAGCTCGTTAATTTTCCGGTAAGTCAGGTAACCTCCAAGGCCAAAGAGCAGGAAACCTGACACCAACACCAGGAATATCCAGACGTCTTCAGAATCCTCTACAGACAGTTGAGATAAGCAGATCAGGCTCCACTGTTTCCAGGAGTCCATGATATACCCAACCGGATCTGTCCCGGAGGGGCAACCGGGAGCCCCTTCTCCCGTTCTCATCGTTGAGAAAATTTTGTCAGTCGCGTTGAGTGACCAGCTGACCAGATCCATTTTTAATAATTAATAATTTCCAGTTTCCAGAAAAAATGTAGAAGCTCCGTACACCCAAAGACAGACAAAGCCTTGGGGATAAGATAGGGAGGAGAGGAGGAAAAAAGTGTCTGTACTCTCCAAGAGCCGGAAGATACTTTCTCCTCAGGTGTGCTGTGCATGGGGAGAAATAAGACTCGAAAGGTGTGAAGTGTGTGTACTTTGTACTACATACTGGGGACAAGTTTTCAGGTTTAACCTGCAACACAGGGACATTTGACTGGTCTTAATGGAAAATGCCCTTAAACCTGGCTTTAGAGGTATGGTGTGAATGACCTTAGTTAGGGTTAGGGGCTATTGGTCTCTCCTAGGAGTGGTTTTAGGGTCTATTAAAGGTCCGGCCCCCTCTTACCTGGGTCTGCTCAAACCTTAACTCGTCGCTGAAGACACATTCGAGTTGATGTTGAGTTTTCTGACTTTGTCGTACCTCATTATGCTTGGACATGTATTAGCTTAGCCGTTACGTTTATTATCGGCGGTGCTGTCATACATCTGCTGTACACACACATTTGGCCGTGTTGAAGTGCCTTTGTTTAAATGTGGTTGGTGGGTTGGTTTTCACTCATTTTAATCCAGTGTTTTCTCTGTGGGGGCCCTCTGCCCCGGGGGCGGTGGTCGACTGTTGCTTCCTGGGCGCTCTACGGGTAGCGTTTAAGTGGAGGTGGGGGGTCTATGCTCCCCCTCCTCTGAGCGCCCTGACTTAGTGTGGAAGACCTGATGCTGCCGGGGCAGACGGCTCCTCTGATGGCGTTTCCTTGCCTTGCCTTACTTGACTCATCTGGACTCAGCCAAATATAAATTTTTACTGGTGTGTGTGTGTGTTGATGTTTTTAAACTGTTATGGGAATTTGGGGTCATTTTGTAAAGAACTTTGCTTGAAAAGCGCTATATAACTAAAATCTGATAAATCTGCTGGGGTTGGTCATCCTGCTGATTTCCAAACGTATTATTATGGATATGAACTCATTATTGGTTGTTCTCCAGGTTTCTAACAGACTACAACGAACTGTTCCCCATCTCAGACGACATCAGCCTCCTACAACAAGCCCTGCCCATCATGTATCCTTTCCTGTGACTTCCCACGGAGCCGCTTTCCAGCATCAGGTCGATCTTTAACGCTCTGCTTCCTCCAGAGACGAGACCAGAACGTCTTATTTGCTCCAGGGGGTTGAAAGTGCCAGGGACAGCCTGGGCCGATGGAAATCACCAATCCACAAGCCTGCTTCCTCCTCCTCTTCCCCGTCAGCCTGTCAGGGAGCAGAAGGTGGTGCTGCAGCCGTCTCCTCATCAGACAGCTTCAGCACTCCAGAGGTCAAAGAGTGGAGAGGAGCAGAGGCCATGGTGGACGTTCCACCTAAGGGAAACAACGTGAGACACAAAATAAGTTGGTTTAAACGTAGACGAGGACATTTCTGACGCGGCTCGTGTCTTCAGGGTGCCGTGTGTCCAGTCAGCGAAGCGGAGCTCGAGTCCCTCCTGTCCTGCATCCGGGACCTGCTTCCTGATCTGGGTGAAGGTTTCCTGCTGGCGTGCCTGCAGGAGTATGGCTACAGCTCTGAGGTGGTGATCAACAACATCCTGGAGGACCGGTTAGCCCCACACCTGGAACAGCTGGACCGAGCCATGCCAAGGTAACCCCCACTTCAGGCTCTGCAGCTCTCTGATGCTTGATGGTGTTGCAGGTTCTGGTTTCCTGCACCAGATCTGTACTGTGCAGAAACCGATCCCGTCATCTGTGAGTTAATGGAGTTTTGATTTGTCGCTGATCTGCATTCAGACCCGTGAAGGAGGAGCTTCCAGCTGTTCTGAACAGCCGGTCCAACGTGTTTGATGATGATGAATTCGACATCTTCCGCAGGGACCAGGTGGACATGTCTCGCATCTGGAAGGGAAGAAGGTAGGGTCACAGGACTCCTAATCGATAATATTCGTCTGGCTCCTGATTGGTTTACAGCAACACGACTCGTCTGCTGCCTTCGTTTACCAAATTGCTTGACGCTACAGCCGCATGCCGGTGGTGAGCTACGTCGTAACGACGGCTGCCCTGGGACACGGAAGCCGCCGGTCCCTCCGACCAGCAGCAGCAGGTGGGGTGGGGGGGTGACTAGCATGGATGTAACGTGGGTTTCAACCAGCAACCCACTGGTTTCTGGGCAAACTCCTAAGCCCTGAACCACCGTTGCCCACAAGCTTCTACCAGCCAAGACGCGCTCTGCTCTCCACTTTCTGTGGGCGGTCCCAAGCCAAGGTGGGTGGGGCCATGAATACTAATGTTCCTTGACCTGATCGTGGGGTGGAAACTATTTTAAAGTTCAGTCTGTGATACTATGACACAGTTTCCATGGAAACCAGACCTTCAGATCTCTAATCATTTATGCAGACGTTAAAGTATCAACCCAGAGTTTTCCACCTTTCAGGAAATTTGTAGGATTTTTTAGAAATATTTGAAAGCGATAGTCTTACCCTGTACTGGGGCAGCAGTAGCTCAGGTGGAAGAGCGGGTTGCCTCATGATCGGAGGGTCATGGGTTCGATTCCAGCTCCCGCCAGGGGTATCCTGCTGTTGTGTCTTTGGGCAAGACACTTCACCCATCTTGCCTGTGTTAGTGGTGGTCAGAGGGGCCGACGGCGCCAAATGGCAGCCTCGCCTCTGACCTCTCCAGGGCGGCTGTGGCTACAAGTAGCTTACCATCACTAGCAGTGTGTGAATGTGAGTGTGTGAAAAAGCGTCTTTGGGTGTCTAGAAAAGCGCTATATAAGTTCAATGCATTATTATTATTATTATTACTGTGATATAGCGTGGGTAATATTTCATGTTTTTATTTGCTAAGCCCGTCCAGTTGAGACTCATGCTATTGGACCAGACCGTTTTTCAGCATTAGCCAATAGCGTTAGCCATCTGCATACGTACAGATGTCCATCTTACAGCGTGTGTTTGAGGACGTAAGGAAAAAAGTGTTTATTAGGGATGGACACTAAATCGGCATCAATATCAGTATCGGCCGATGTCAGTAATTTTTTAACATATCGGTATCAGTTCGATAAATAAAACTGGACTGATACTAATAACCGATATGTTTTCCATCTCGTCTCCATGCTCAAAGGTCAACTTTCCTCGCGGGGTCACACCCATTAGGACAGTGGGAGGGTTAAAAACCGGCAGGGAGGGCAGGGTGCTTGTCTGATTGCGAGTGGAAGGTCATTCCACAGCTTAGGGGCCAGAACCGAGAAAGCCCCGCCTCCTCTAGTCGAGCATTTCACAATACAGAAATCAAGTAAACACACAAGTGCTGAGAACGGCTTAAGGTGTGATAAAAGAAGTCTGGATCGAGCTTTAACGGGAGGATTTTTATTCCCATTGTAACTTCCTGATTTCTAAATCTGGCAGGAAAGGCGAGAGCACTCGTGAGATGTTAAACGACAAGAAGCACGTAGCAGAGCAGCGAGCTCGCTATCAGACTTACGAGAACGTGATCGACGAGGTTGACGTCAATCCCGGAGACTCTGCCACTGTCTGCGGCCTGGATGACTACGATGACGAGTACGACGACACCTACGACATGAACCAAGTGGGAGCCAATGACCTGGATGGAGACAGTTTACTCAACAGAAGGTTCTTTCCCCCGTCGGTTATTAATAGAGGACAAAACGAAGCCAAATTTACAAAGCTGGTTCTGTTTTCCTGCAGGCCTTTCACAGTCCCACAGGTTCTGAGACAGGTAGCCAGAGTGGAGGAGGAGGAGGATGGTGAAGATGCGGAGGAAGATGTTTTAAAGGTATCCAAGTGACCTGTTCTATAGTTTTACTAAAGTTCCTTTAGACGCTGCCAGCTCTGCTCCCATCCATTGTTCTGCACATACCTGTTTTTCATGGCCCCTCTGTGTTTCAGAGCAACCCCAACAGAGACCAGTTTGTGCAGGACCCAGCTCTGCTGAGGGAGAGGGCTGAAGCTAGAAGAGCTGCCATGCAGCAGAGGAGAGGGTAAACTTTTCTCGCCACAAGCCTTTTTGCTGTTTTTAGTGAGCTCTGGCATCTAAGCTAGCCGATATGTTTTCCCACCCTGATCCCTCAGCGTCCGACCTGAGCGCACCAGTAATGTTGTGGGACGACCCAAAGGCCAAGGACAAACCTCAGAGACTACCTCGGACCGGCGCAAAAAGGAGACCAACAAGAGCCGCGTAGGCAATCACAACCGGCGCACGATGGCCGACCGCAAGAGGAATAAAGGCATGATCCCCTCCTGAAATGTGCAGCGACCCTCTGCTCCAGCTGAACGGGCGAGGACGACAGAGACTGGATGGCGGATGAGGACGGTTTGATCCGGTGAGGGACGTTTGGCTCGGTGGGATCAGAAGCTGCCAGTGGGCCGGTGACGTGTTTCATCATTTGAGCCTGGAGGATTCTAACAACACATATCTATAATTTCCCAAGTAATAAATCTTGTTTATTGTTATGATTAAAAGTGATCAAGTTAGGTTTCTACCACTTTCAACAAGCAGAATACATCACAAAAACTGGAAGTGACGTCCTGCAGCTTCCTGCTCAGCTGGAAGAACATCCAGGTGCTGGGTGTCTGATCATCATGTGAGAAGCTGCAGCTTAAGACCACAGTAGGAATCTGCTCTGTGAGCGTTCCGTTAGAAGCGTTTTGTTTGGAAGCACAAGTTCAAGAACGTCTCAGGTGAGCTGCAGAGAACCCCGCAGACCCGAGAACAACATTCAGAGCTTTTTGTAACAAAGAGGAGACAGAATTGGTTTTTGGAGCTGAAATGCAAAAAAAAACAACAAATATTGTAATGTTTTTGAAACCGTTCGAGTCGAATCATTTTCTCAGTGTGTGTGTGTGTGTGTGTGTGTGTGTTTGCGTGTGCATGCTGCAGGCCTGGGTGGGAGGTGGGGGGGTTAATCTGTTAATAGTTTAAAGAGAAATAGTGAATTGATACATATGTTAAATTGAAACCTTTTCTGCTTTTGAAAGCTGTTGTTACTGAATTATGTAGTCATATTGATATCTTGTTAAAATAACTAATTTGCTGCTTTATGCTAACGTGCGCTAATAATGCTAACAAATTGCTACAGCTAATCTCTAAACCCACAACTCACTGTTGAGTAGTGATGTGTCGGTCGCGAACGAACCGGCTCTAAGAGCCGGCTCTTTGAAGTGAACGACGGGAGCCGGCTCGTCCCCCCCCCTGCCTTGGTGAAAGCTACAGGCGATTGGTCAACATGTGTAACTGTGTGTCCAGACTGTCTACACACAGAGCAGTAGGGGCGGGGAAGAGGGAGGATCAGACTCGGACACACAGCAGAGCACATGCGGGTGGAGGGAGACGAGAGGGAATGAGGAGGAGGAAAAAGGCGAGCGAGAGAGAGGAGAGTGCGACGATGACGGTGAGAAAATGAGCGCAAGCAGTCGGAAAGTGGAGATTTCTTAAATTGTTCAGTTATTAAATCCATAGAAATGATAAATATTTGATATATTGCTTTTTTTACATTAGTAAATTATTTTACATATAGTTTAGCATTATTTTGGTTCTAAATGTAGTCTACGCAACTAAATCTGAGGAGCCACTTGGGAGCCAAAAGAGCCAGCTCTTTTTGGTGAGCTGAGCCAAAAGAACCGGCTCTCTAAAAAGAGCCGGAATTCCCATCACTACTGTTGAGTCACGCTAGCAGGCTAAGCTAACTTATCGCTGCTGTCTGATGGCTCAGTGTGTCACATCTAAAAGGGTCCGGGCGGAAACTCACGTTAGTCTCCCTGCTTGATGGAACGACTACGATCACTCGGCTTTGCAGATTAACAAATTCAAATCCTTCAGGATTTCATAGCACAGTCCACTCTTACACGTTTTAGCTCATAGCTGCAGTTAATATAAATAAATTAACACATTCAGGGCTGCTCATTTTGGATTAAGCCCGGCAGGATTTTTAGTTTGTCGGCTGAATCTCCCAATATAACATACTAGGACAGTCTGAAGGGGAGGATCAGTTCAAAAACTGACGTGATTATCCTGCCGTGTGAAGCAACATAAGCATGTAAGGAGTGCAGGATTTGCACAGACATACGTGTGTGTGTGGTGAGGAGTGAATATCCTTTTCTAGTTATGACTCCTTTCTGCTGCTTAGCCCATCCGTTACCTCCCACAATCTCAGTTTGATGCTGCAAAGATTAGCATCATGGCTGTTTTTCATACATTAAATGTATTTAAAACTGCATATTTACAAATGTTCAATCACTAAAGTGCAGCGGCGTGTCCAGATCTTTTAAAATGGGGTGGCCCAGGTGAGGCACAATTTTGTGCATGGGTGGCACCAATGGTTGTGCTTTTTTTATTTTACCCCCAAGCCTTTTGTGGACAGTGAAAAGCCTATTTAAAGGTGTGGTGGCACCTGGGGTGGCCAATCAGATTCCAAGGGTGGCATGTGCCACCCCAGGCCACTCCCTGGACACGCCCCTGCTAAAGTGAGGAAGTAATGCTAGCAGGTGTTTAGAAACTAGTGCCAACACTGTACTGGTCATCCAGGGCAGAGAAATCTCTAAATGTCTCCACAAACATCGGGTTATAAATACTCAGGTCATCTGTTTTTACACAAAAGGCGTCACCTGGCCTCACGGAGACCATCACACACGTCTACAAAGACACACAGGTCAGAAGTCAGACTCCCAGGAAGAACACCGATGAGTTTGTACAACGTTTTCACTAGACCCATCAGCAGGTCAGCTGACAGCAGGAGTTTGTTTGTTCCCACAAGCTGGAGGGAGGAAGTGTTGATGTCAGGTTGGGCAAAAACAGAAATGCTCGTGGAGCGTTGGGATGACTCCCGAGGGGGCGGAGGAGGACTAACAACCGTTAGCTGTCTTTGCAGACGCTGCCTGGAATAAGTGGGAGACACAAAACAGACTTTGAATATAAATAAATGATCAGATGATTACGTGTGAGGACCAGACTCACTGAGGATGCTGCGTTTACACAGAGGACAGGTGTGCTGCAGCAGCAGCCAGGGGTCCACACAGTCTCGGTGGTACTCGTGAAGACACGGCAGCACCCGAAGACACTGAGACGACAACGAGAAGCTCCATCACCACATCCTCCTGAAGTTAAAAAGGCCTCCTGCAGAACAGTAGGCAAACCCACCTGGTTGTTGCTAAACGGCTCCAAACACACGGCGCAGGTATCCGTCTCTGTGGCCTGGGATGGGTCACGCCAGGGTTTGGGTTTACGGTACCTTCTGGTTTTGAGAGACGACATTCTCTTCACAATATCCTGTTTTGGAAGAAGCTGAAGGAAAAACGACAGCATGGACGCAAAACAACGCCACTGGGTTAGGGTTAGGAAGTAAGAAACGTCTAAAAACACAAACTTCAGCCTGATTTTCTGATGGGTTTTCAGGTCGACACCAGCCAGACATCAGAGCTCTGCAGGTGCAGAAAGACGAACTTGACTTGAGCCCAGTCCAGGGCATTTCTATCACTTAAATTATACAGTCGTAGATTTAAAACGATGGAATGTGCAAACGTCTCCTGAAGTCAGCACCTCCAGGTCGTTGTTCAGCTGGTGGTCCTGGTTCTGCCAGCGGGCCTGGACGATGACCCCTGTGCAGAGGATCAACGCCACCAGGAGGACGGTGTCCCACAGCTGCTGCAGGTACTTCTGGAGATCAGAGAGATGAACCGTTTACGTCACTGCTGAAGTCAAAACTAGTTTAACAGCTGATGTTTGTGTTTGTTGCATTTCTCCACCTGGACCTGAGAGTTGGTCTCCCCTGTGCAGATGACCCCCTGCCACTCTCCATAAAGACCCCCCCTCGATCGCCCACAGCTGGACCACAGCGTGAGCGTGGCTCCCTGCCCGAACACACAGCAGCATGAGCTCAGCCTGCACTCACCACCAGAGGGCGCCAGCTACTCAAATACTCCACCAGCTCACCAAATTATCCTGCAGAACCGTCTCGTAGGTGATTTTGGCTGTTGCACGAAGGCCCCTGTAAGGGGGGGAAAGCTTTATCAGTTGATTTAATTCCAAGATGACAGCTTTGACTGCCAGTGTGAAACTACTGGGGACACATGTGGTGTTCTGGACCAAATGAAAGCACCACCTGCTCTCCTGATGGGGTGCCAAAAGTGTAAAAAAACACATTTATGAGAACTCTACAAAGGATGGGACGACTCAGTCTGCTTTATTTTCATGATGCTGGAGGACAGGAAAAAAAGCGCCCGAGTCCAAATAAAGGCTGAGTAAATAACCACCTTAAAACCTTTGTTAGCTTTAATTGCAGATGAACAATAATAATAAGCTATATTAAAGTTAGAATATGGAACATTTTATTAAAAAGCTATATAAAATAAATATTACCTCTGCAGGGCATTCAGAGGTGTACAGCTTCTCCTTTTAAAGCCATATTTTAAAAGATAAATAATCTAATTTTATTCTGTCGGGCACGACGGTGTGTTTATATTTACACCCACCAGCCACTAGAGGGCACCATTGCCGAGGGACAGTTGATAGAAGACGGCTATCCTGTTTGCAGCACGTGCAGAAAAAGTGTCTGTGAAAGGCAGCAATGCTTCAAATCTCATGACACATCTGCGTGACCATCACCCACAACTCTACAGTCAACGCAAGGCAAGCTAACGTTAGCCTTTTAGCTAAAATGCGTGATAATTATTTAGCGTAAAAAACAAGTAAAGTGTAGGAACCGTGTCAAAAGAACCATCAGTGAAAACAAGGTGTTTCTTGCCTGAGCAGAGCTCCAATCAGCTTGGTGACGTTCTCTGATGTCTGGATCACGATTATGGGCTTGGAAAGCACCGGAGACAAATCCATCTGCATCAGAAAGAGTTCAAATTCCTGTTATTTAATGATGTTGTTAATGTCAAACTGCACAGAAGCATCATCAGCACCAAAGATGTAGGATAAAAGCAAGTTTACGGTTTTATGAAGAAAGATTTCTGAACCTTTACCTCGCTTACTGAGTTTTGGTTGAGAGCTAGAATGATCAACGCTGAAGCTCCAAGGACCAGGGCGCGTTTCATCTGGAGCAGAGGCAACAGGAAATAATCACTCGTAACTTCTCACCTCGGTCGGACGGATGGGTAGCTTTGTCAGTGCGCTCCTGTGGCTACGATACAGCTCCACCGGTGTGTGAATGGATGAATGATTGTAAAGTGCTTTGGAGTCCTTGGACTAAAAAGGGCTGTGCAAGTGCAGGTCATTTATCTTCTGTACCATTTATATTGCTGTTGTGGGGCTGGAGAGCTCCTTCAGTGGCAGACCGCTGCGTCTTAGGTGCATGAAGGAGCATTACCTTAAGTCCTTCCTCCTAGCAGCTGTCTGCCTCGAACAAAATCCCCAGATGATTTTTCCTACATTTGTAATTATTTTCCTGGCATTTGCAAAGTTTCTGTCATCACCCATCTATGTTTGTTCTTTTTTTGTTTGTTTACACAGTTTCTTCCTTAATTTCTATTTTCAAAATCAGGATACATTCAACCAAATCTTTTTGTACACATCAGGGGCCTCATTTATCAAGCTTGCTTACACACAAAACGGGGTCGGAAAACTGCGTAAGCATCTTTCCACGCAAACTTTGGGATTTATGAAAGAAAACTTAGCGGAAAAATGTGCGCAACTTTAAGTTGACTAAGGACCTGGCTTACACACATGTTGGACATGGAGAGCACCTGCAGTGCTGCTGCTGAGAAGATACAATTATGAAATCCTGCAGCATTATCACTTGTACCGCTTCGTTTTCACACAGAACAAGACCCCCCCCCCCCACACACACACACACACACACACACACACACAGCCTGAAGTGCAGAATACAGAATGCAGAATATCAGCAGGGGGACAGATTGAGACACAATGTCATGCATCTGTGACAGTGTGTGTCCTGTCACTGTGACCTGATTGATCATGCGCCCTGGCTACTTGGATGAGATAGATCTCCGTTTGGCTGACTGGTTAGCATGCGCGACTTTCACCCGGGAGTCTGGGGATCAAATCCCAATCTGATCTTTTTTTTTTTTATATCCGCCACAGATCTCTCTGAAGAATTCACAACATTGACGGCTTCAGCAACGCTGTGCCACTCCGTGGATTTTCTCTTATTTGTTTTGAAAAAGTACTTCCTTTCATTTGTCCACCTCACCCACAGGTGCCTCAACTTCTGCTTCTGTGAAATAGCGCTTCCTTGATCTGCGGTCGTGATCGAAATGCTGCAACAAGCCGGCTTATGTATATGCATGAGATCCACAAGGATCTCTGCATTGACCATTTATGGCAGTAAGTGGGCGTGGTGGGGGCGGGATGTGACAAAAAAGCAGCTGAGAGCCTTTCTAGATAGTTTCTGATTTATGAAGCGGAGATTGCGTGCAGCTGTGCGTACTCCATGTTTGATAGATCACGAACCTACTTGGCGTGAGTACATTTTTTTTGCTGAGCTTAAGTACGGTTTTAGTAAGGATTCTACGCAATGTTTGATAAATGAGACCCCTGGGCGTTTATACTCATGTTCACTGATCAGTTTATTATTATTAATTACTATAAATTATTTCTGAGTTATATTTGCTTAAAGAGCAAAATACCCCTTCACGACACCCACACTTCCTGTTTGAAAAATGCTCCAAAAGGAGGTGTTGCCTGGTAGAGTGAGACGGCAACACTACTGCAGTGATACAGCAGCAGCCAACACTAATGGGCCATACCCATCTGTACCGGGTCGGCCCGGGCCGGGTAGCCCCAGTCGGCCCAAGCCTGGCCCGGTTGATTCCACACATCCTTGCCTTAAGCCCAAGTGGGCTGATTCTACCCACCAATCAGAGGCTTGCTCTAATGGAAGGTGTGAATTTGCTGTCAGCAGTGGGTGTGTTGGCCCTGGTCGGCCTGAAGCAGACCCCCTCAAGAAGAGGGCTGAGAATGAGCCTTGGTTGGCCCGGAAAAATACCAGGCCACCCAGATATGTAAACAACCTACGCTACCCGGCCCGGGCCGGCCCGGTACAGATGGGAATGACCCAATAATCTACCACTATGAACTTTTTATTTTAAGTGTAGTTGGTTTGCATGCTTTCTCTTCAAGTAAGGGTTTACTCATCAAATTTTACAGTGTAAAGTTGATTAAAATGAGTTTTCTCACTTTATTGACCACTGCATCAGCAAAAGACTCCTGATTTCCAGTGGAAGCTTTGCTGTCGTCCATCTCAACAGGCACCACACCGATCCAGGGCTCCTGCTCCTCTGGTTGGTCTTCACGATTTCCTTCATTTACCCGTTTTGCTTCTTCTCGTACCTGAGGTCAAAATCCCACAAAATATCAGATCCAAACAGAAAACAGAATTATTTCTATCGATGATATTTATATTGACTCAAAGGGAAGAGAGTTAAACCTTATTGCACCTAGACTAGAAATCTGGGCAAAACATAGCAGCAGCAAAAGATTTTGCTCTGCACATCTAACCGGCAGGCTGCTTAGTGGCGCAGTGGTTAGAGATGTTGCCTTGCAGCGAGAAGGTCCTGGGTTCGCTTCCCATCCTGGGATCTTTCTGCATGGAGTTTGCATGTTCTCCCTGTGCATGTGTGGGTTCTCTCCGGGTACTCCGGCTTCCTCCCACAGTCCAAAAACATGACTGTTAGGTTAATTGGTCTGTCTAAATTGTCCTTAGGTGTGTGTGTGCATGGTTGTTTGTCCTGTGTGTCTCTATGTTGCCCTGCGATGGACTGGCTCTCTGTCCAGGGTCCGCCTACTTGCCCGTTGACTGCTGGAGATAGGCACCAGCCCAGCCCAGCCCCCCCCCCCCCCCCCCCCCCCACACACACACACACACACACACACACACACCCTGCGTGGACAAGCGGGTTCAGAAGATGGATGGATGGACGGACGGACATCTAACCGGCTCCTAACCAATTTATTTACATTTACAGTATTACATTTAATATTCTGAAATTAAGTCTGCATAATAAAAAATACAGATGAACAAAACAAAAACTCTGACTGAACAAGGCACTGACGCAAGCACGCTGCTTATACTGTTCTAAACTGGTGCCATCACTGGGATGCACTGCAGTGACACAAAATAATCGGTCACCTTGTTTTACATAATCTGTCAGATTATGTCATGTCACTACGAGACTAAAGACAAAGCCAAGAGGGCTCACCAACACCAGGTTCCCCTCCAAGTCCTCCAGCCCTGCTGAGCTCCGGACGGCCCTGGTCGAGCCCAGCACCTCCCCCTGGATCAGCGCGCTGACACCAGGCCGGTGCTCCAGGAAAACCTCCACCAGAGCGACCTGCTCTGCTGCCAACAGCAGCCCCGACCACCGCAGCAGGAGGAGCGGTACCATTATCCCGAGACAGCAGAGCCGCGCTAAAGCCATGACCCGAAACCCTCACTTAGAAAAGCAGTGATAAACACACGAGCCTCGTCAGCTGTCAGACATGCTTATTAAAAGCTACAGTGTTATTTGCGACTGTTAGCATCGCGGCTTTGTCGATGTAAACAAGAGAAATAACAAATTCCGGTTTAGACCGGAAGTGCATTTTCTGTCAAATGGACATAAAAATCTTCTAGTTGTGTTTTAAGCATTGTAATTTATAGTTTGTATGGTTTTAGGCACCAATGCAACAGTGATTTAAAATAATAACATTAAAATGCCTTCAACGAACAGTTTAATGAATTATACAAAGACCCATGACAAGAGAAGTAACTCTGTTCACTTCCGGCTTTGTTTTCCGCACAAAAATGTGAAGTTTTAGCTCTTTAAATTAGGTGGGGCACAACAGCAACACAACAGCTCACACACACACCACACACACACATGCTGTAATGTCAATTGTGCACAAACACACCCACATGTGTGTGGGTTATCGTCCCAAACCCAACCAGTGGGCGGACCCGAACTGTAGCTGGTCCCGCATTTTGCAGGAAACTATCTTGCCTCCTACCAATCTTTGGCCAAGTCAGCCGGTGGATGTCCAGCGGGCTCTGGCGGTCATGTTTACTCGCTTTTTTTTCTCTCTCTCTGTCTCTGCCGTTTTGTCCACCTGCAGGCCAGGCAGCAGACGGACCGGGTTACAGGAAACCGAAGCCGCTCATGAACATCACGGGCAGCCCATCTGCGGTAAACGGCGGCCGGAGCTTCCGGTTCTCTAATTCTTTATTAGACTTTTAAGAAGCGCTGCTGGGTTTATCTCAGCTTCAGATCGCAGGCATGAGTGGAAGAGTGGGAGACCTGGGTCCGAAACAGGCTGAAGCGCTAGAACAAGTAAGTTTAACGCATTTGCTATTATTAATTATAATATTCCAGTGGATACACGAATCCCCTCATGTCAGGTTATTCTAGTTTGTCACGTGGGATTTAGCTCAGAGGTAAAGCTTTATTATGCCTGATCAGGTAAATACGTTTGAATATTTGTTTATGATAAATAAGGAGGGAAAAGGCTTGATAACCATCTGTAATTGTTTTATGAATCACTAAGAAACAAACAAACAAAAACAAATAAAATAAACTCAGCCATGAATTTAAAATGTGAACAAAGACCAGAGTTTGTATTAGAATCATAAACAGCTTGCAGGAAGTTTATTTTTATTCCTTAAATAAATACAGACATAAATACCAATGGCTGTATATAAAAGATGGACAACCCCCATCCATAGCTTTCTGTGGGGCTTTTTTGAAGCCAAATGGGCGGTTCAGATCACCGCCATCTTGGCAGTGTCACACATCTCATCGTGGAAAAGAGGTGGAGCTGAGAATGGGGGTGTGCGGGTGGGAGGAAATGATTGACACCCATAAATTCTGAACCAATGTAGCTACAAGCTAACCTGAAGCTACATGGAGTTCGGAGCCAACGGGGGCAGCTAGTTACAAAGTGTCTGAGAAAACCCATCGCTAACCTGAGGCTAACAGGTTTTCGGACGCCTTCAGCCAGGAAAACGTGGTTGAGCGTCTCAGAAGTGAAGCACTTATCAACTCAAAGAGCTGCAGTGTTTCTGTGGTCTCCCTCAGAGAGCTCCATTGGCAGCCAGGACAACCACAGCTTCACATGTGAGCTGGGCAAAGCTGGGTGGCCACGCAGCTCAGCTGCCCCTGGAGATGGTAGCAGCGGGCTGCCTCGGGAGGCTGGAGCAGCAGATTTGCAGATCTCTGATCACGTTGCTGAAGGGAGAGACACAAAACTACCACAACTCGCTAATTCCTCCATTCTGCATTGGCGACCTCGTGGATCTTTGACCGCGGTGGAACAGCGGAGCCTGGAAACTTCTGCTAGCCTTGGCCACCTCACCTAGCTCAGCCAGCTCCACCAACATTTCCCCCAGTCAGTCAGTGAGGTACAGAAATATAATTTTACTTAGTGATAAAAGTGTAGCAGACTTGGATGATCGCTTAGTGCAAACCCAGCTTGCCCTCTTTGTCCGCATAATTCCACGATTAACATCCAAACACGAACAGAGGGCGCAGCTAAAGTTCAGAGCGGAAATGGCCGAACATCTGTTAAGGCTGAGGCCCTCTCCGGAACTAGCCGCTAGCGCTAGCTCTGATGCTCATGCTACCTGCCAATCAAATCCAATTATTCATGATTTCAAGCATTTAATTACACCTAAACGGGTGAGTTATAAAAAATCTATTAAACCTAAGGTGGGTTTTTGAACCAGGCTGTAAACACGCTTATTTCTGCTGTGAAGTTAGCATTTTTAACATGAGAGTCAATGTGGATGTGCCCTGTTTCTGGAACCCGCCCCTAGTGGAGGAAAGTGGAACTGCAGTGTTTGTTGACCAAATAGCCGTTCCGCAGCTGAAGTTTAGCAGGCAACACAAACATGAAGTGTTGTTATGCTTTCATAAATGAAGGCATGGAGTCAGTGGCGTTGATTAGGACCAGGAAGAAACATTGTTTCATTCAAAGCTAAGCAGCAGTGATGTTTTAATTCATCTGATCGCAAATCAATGTGAAGATGCCCTCATTCGTTTAATCTGATTCCAGTTTCGGGCGAGGATACAGGACATTCTTCCTCATCTTCCGGCCCAGCATGACCACTTCCTGTTACGCTGGCTCAGAGGTGAGCTGTCACAGATAATTATACCAATAACTGCTCCACTGCAGGGTGGATTTCTTCATGTTGTTGATGTTCTTTTCTATGCAATCAATGAAAATCAGCTGAGGTCATTCGCTCTTCAGCCTTAAGCAGAAGCTGCAGTGGTTTATAACACGAAACCTCCGGATGCAACAAGTGTAGAAAACGCATTTCCCCATTTTCCTTTGAGATCTACGAAGTCTGTTGTCCCCCTGGGGAGGAAGTAGAACACTACAGCAGGTGATTAGCTCAGATGTCTGACAATATCGAATCTCTAATCCAGAGATAATCCCACTGAAAGCTCCCATCTGCTCTGGTGCCGTGTTTCTGTTGCTGTCCTGGGTTTTAGTCATTTAAGGGAAAATCAGCTGATGTTTTAATTAGTCGTTGCTAAACCAGCCTTATGAAATCCCAGCTCTGCCTCTGGCATGAACAATGAAGCTGTTTGTTTGCTCTACATAACAGGAGTGATGTCACTAGAGCAGCCGTAACAAGCCTGATGCCGTCCAACAAAAACAACATTTTAGTGAAAACACTGCTTTAGAGTTTTAGTTCCAGGATTGAAGGACACATAGTTTTTCTTTGGACTTCACCCAGATTCAGTGGCGCAAAAAGTGGGTATGCAGTGTATGCAAGGCATAGGGGCGCCGCGCTGGAGGGGGCGCCTAAGCAGTGGTGGGGGAAAAGGGCATTTTTGTGTTTCATAGCTATTTGTGCATGTGTAAATTAAATAATTATTAACAGAAGCAAGCGATTGGGCGCCCCTCCGCAGCCCTGCTCCACGGCCCCGCCCCACACTCACAGACACACACACACACACACACACAACGTGAACACTCTTGACGAGTCCAGCTGGGGTGTAAGTGTTTTCATTTGAATGATATCTACTGTCATCTGATCAGCTAGCTAGTTAGCTAGAGATGGAAAGACCAAAAAAAAAAAGCTCTCTGGGGCACAAAACAAATAACGGAAGAGGGAAAAGGAAAATGAGTTTGTAGGGATGAAAAAACTTTTCAAAGTGGTTGAAAGACAGTAAGTAGGTCATCTCGCAAGAAGGCATAGTTATTCCTGCTAGCAGCTTCAGCTGGGGGGGGGGGGGGGGTAGCTGCGCCCCTGCCCAGATTATCGAGGTTTTTACAAAAACATCAACATAATGCCACAGAGTCAGTCTGACACAGTTGTGGCTATTGTCACCTTTTCCTCCACATTCATCTGCGGAGAGCAACAGCTGGATCACCGTCAGCTCGCCGCTGAAGCAGGACTTCTTACAGAACCTCCGGACGTCTCTGAAGCTCGGGGGTTGTAGGGTAAAGCGCTTTAGAGTCCTCGGACTCTGACCGGTGTGGGCCAGTTATCGTTCTTCTGCAGTTTGACTCTAAATGTTCAGCTCAGAAAAATGTTGACCTCAGATTTATCTCACGGCGTCTCTCTCCTGACGCGAGTCTAGCGCGAGAGGAACCGGACTCCAGTGAAGTTTCTCCAGGCGCCAGCTTGCACCAGTCAGCCCAGAGAGTGTGACTCTGGGCGGGGTTGGGTCACCAGCCTCTCCAGCTGCAGAACTGGATCCTGCTGCTGAAGGCAGCAACCTTGATCTTTGCACCACTTAATAAAACCGTTACGACCGTCATGAAGACAGCTCTAATCTTCTCCAGAGTTACAAACTGTCGTCGTTATCCGCATCCAGGACCTCACAGAGTCCCCTTCCTGAGTGATCTTTACCCGCCAGCTGCAGCGGCGTCTATCAACCTGCACGTCTCAGCCGATCCTCCGCTTCAGCACACCTGATCCAGCTTTTCAATGACCTCCTCAGCATGTTGTCACTCCCTGGCCCAGAATGGGCCGCACCCACCTTAAACCAGATGTTACCCTACACCTGACAATTATAAACATGGAGATTGTTCCCTGAGTAAATGAAGTCACCTGTGTTTGGACAGCTGCACATGCAGCGTGTTCTTAGCCTGGCAAGCCAGACTAAATAAATGTATTATTTAGTCTGGCAACGCTCCATTGACGGCTCTCGGTTGTGGGGCGGGTTCTACCGTTGTCTTTAAAATGATCTCCGCATGCTAATGGACAATGAATGTGACATACTCTTGTTTCACTCTGTTGCATCATCCCACCCACCAGGCATATAGTGTGCCCTGATTGGCCCACAAAGTGGATAAAGCTCTGTGATTTGTTCACTAAGCAGATAGAGCTCTATGATTGGCCCACCATTATGGACCAATCACAGCTCTTTATTGGGCCATTCCCATCTGTACCGGTGTCGGTACAAGATCTGCTCGGGTGCAAGATCGGCTCGGGTCCGTCGACTGCCGATGACGTCTAAGTAGTTGATTGGCTGAACATGAACCTTACGGAATTACGTAATCACGTAACGTTGTTATCACGTGACGTTGGTCCAGGCAAATTTTTTCTATTGGAAAGATGGACAACTTTTACAAAGAAATCCATCATTACCTCTTTGAAAATACACTTTTAGCATAGAGCTGCAAGTATATTAGGGCTGAACGATTAACTGCATGTGCAATTAAATTGCGATGTGACAAAAGGAGATTTTCTAATGGCAAAGGCTGCAATTTGGCAGCGAGTGGTTAGCGTAATGCTAATATACATGGAAAAACCCATAGGAATGCTAATGCTAATATCGCCGATTACATTATTACAAATTATGAATTAGAAACGTGCCAAATGATTACATTTGGAGTCTAATAGAAAGTAAAACTACCATCAATCAAATAAGTATAGACAGGTATTTTAGTAAAGCCAGAAAACTTTTAACTCCAGAGCTTTGGCTAGCAGCTATGAGCGTAACTGAACTACGCATGGACAAGACGTCAAAAACTCAACACAAATACTTCAATAAACGGGACACACTTCTTTCCTGCAAATACAATTTCACAGGTGTTGCTAATACCTATGATCCTTCAAGGGATGTGCTCAAAGAGGAGTTCAACATGAATCAAATATAGTGTTTTATTTTACAAATACTATTATAAACACAAACTTACGTCTTAAGAAACATTATTTTAATAACAAAACTGCTAAATTCTTTCCAACAGTATAGATGTGTAGTGTATTTTGTCCGAGTGGATTTGCCGTACTTTGACGTCATCGGCAGTCGAAGGACCCCGAGCCGATCTTGCACCCGAGCAGATACTGTACCGACACCGGGTCGGCCCGGGCCGGGTAGCCCCGGTCGGCCCCAGCCTGGCCCAGTTGATTCCACACATCCTTGTCTTAAGCCCATGTGGGCTGATTCTACCCACCAATCAGAGGCTTGCTCTAATGGAAGGTGTGAATTTGCTGTCAGCAGTGGGTGTGTTGGTCCTGGTCGGCCTGAAGCAGACCCCCTCGAGAAGAGGGCTGAGAATGAGCCTTGGTTGGCCCGGAAAAATACCAGGCCACCCAGATATGTAAACAACGTACGCTACCCGGCCCGGGCCGACCCGGTACAGATGGGAATGGCCCATAAGTGTTTGAAACCCCTCTAGAGAGCTGTGATTGGCCAGCCAGAATGCTGTTAGGGGCTGCAGAGGTTCCAGTGGAGCTTCCTAGACCAAACGTTGCAAAGCAAGAATTTGGTCTAGTTCACTAGGCTAGCGTGTTCTCTTACTGAGACTTTAAAATCGCTCACCATGAACTTTTGTCTTTCAGCCAGAAACTTCAACGTTCAGAAGTCCGAGGCCATGCTGCGAAAGGTAACGGCATCACGGCGTGCCTTATGCAACGAGTCAGAGTGCAGACACATGAGCACTTAGCTCTGGCACACAGAGTCCAACACATCATCACGGGCGTGGCAGCAGATTAGAGGAGCAGACTGAGTCATCTCAGCTACCTGAGCAGATTAGAGAGACGAGAGATTAAATTCTGATGACCGCTTAAGAGGTGCAGGTACAACGTTATTCTCCGCTGAGCTGAAGAACCTTTGGTTGTTTACATACCGTTATCCTTGTTTGGCACATTTTTCCTCCTTAACTCCTTTTTACGGGAGTGAAACGACCTCGTTACGGCGACCTCACAGCCAACAGGAAACTCACCAGCTGTTTAAAGCAGAGGTGAACGGGTTCAGGGCCAGTGGGATTGACACCGCCCATCCTAAAGACCACGAGTCGATTGGAAGAGTCAAAACAAAAAGAGCTTAAGAGAGAAACCATCTTGGCTCCGCTTCATTTAGCTTTTATATAAATTCCAATAAAGAAAGTTTAGAAAAGGGACCCCAGGAGGGGCTAGCAGAGGGAGGTTTAAATTTTCATCACCATCATTTTTCACTTTTATTTGGTTCCTGGACCCAAACCTGTGTGACCCACAATGGCCCGCTGACCCCAACTTTAGCAGCATCTGTTAAAGGGACGTTATGGAAGTTTGACAGCCAAAACATGTATAGAAATAATAAATGTCTTCTTCATACATTCTCCTGCAATGCCCTGGTCCTGTAGAATGAGCCCTGGCATTTTTACTGTGATTGCCTGTTTTTCTGTAAAACCACAGAAAAAGAGAGATGCTTGGGTCGAGCAGGCTGCTTCATGCGCGTTCACGCTCAGGCATCGCCCGTAGCATTTGCTATCCGTAGCTTTAGCAGCAGAGAGAGAGGCAGTGCCACTTTGTCGCTGTTCCTAACGCCTAGTGACAAAGCTAGCTACATTTCTGAGGACCCTTAGCTACTTTCTGTAGAGCTTTCTTCTAGATATTTCCTGCAAATTAGCAACAAAATAGCCGTTTTCACTCCGAACCGTTCTTTGAACGTTGTTTCAGCTGTCATCAAGGATATAAATGTTACAGATACAGAGAACATCACTGGTGCTTTAGCTCACCTAGTGAGATGTTGGACTCCCATGCGGAATACCTGGGTATGATTCTGGGTGTGAACATAGTTTATTCAGAGTTTCTTTTTTTACATTAATGGTATATTTTTTACAGTAAGATGCCCAAATTTTTATTTGAGACTCGCCCAACGGCATTGAATTCACAGATAGAAAAGATGTGGGTTCAACTTTCATTTTGGAACAATTTTTCAAGCAAGGGAAGGGAACGATCTGAGCATGCAGGAGGACTGACCCATCTTAAACCTTTGTCAGCTGTGCTGAAGAGAAAGGTACAGAACCAAATTATGTAATTAATTAGCTGCGTTTTCTCCTGTCCTCTGGGCCACACACACACACACACACACACACACACACACACACACACACACACACGGGACTGTCTCAGCTGTTATTTTCGTTAAGGAGTGTGCACGTACAGCATGCGTGCCTCGTGCACAAGCCTACTATTGAAGCTGCCGTTACACTTTTGGCCTGAGGGGGCGATCACGAGCATAAAAATTCAAAACTCCGTAAAGTCCCTATAAACATTAAAACACATGAAGATGAGATCCACAAAGTCCTAAACCTTCTCTTCCAGCATCTGGAGTTCAGGAAACACATGAAAGTGGACTCAATAATCAGTGACTGGCGCCCCCCAGAGGTAAAACACATCACAAACTAATAAATAAACAAATCCAATCAGTCTGTAAACATGATTCCTGCTCTCAGGTGATAGAGAAGTATCTGTCAGGAGGCATGTGTGGCTACGATCGCGAGGGCAGCCCCGTCTGGTACGACGTGATCGGACCCATGGATCCCAAAGGCCTCTTCCTGTCTGCCTCCAAGCAGGACTTCATCAAGTCCAAGATCCGGGACTGTGAGATGCTGCAGAAGGAATGTAACCTTCAGTCGGAACGAGTAAGAGCTCGAGGCGTGGTGGTCCCAGAGGTGGACAGAAAACCTTCAACCCAAGTTTTATCCTTTAGGGGGAAATAAGGACTCAATTCAGTAGATTCTCTTTCTGCCAAAGAAGATGCGAAACAGGAAGTGGGTCACAGGCTTTGGCTCAGAGAGAGAGACAGAGAGAGAAAGAGAGAGGCATAGGCATGGGGAGATAAACACAAAGACTAAGACAGTTGGACAGAGAGAGATGCAGAGAGAGAGAGAGAGAGAGACAGAGATAGATGCAGAGAGAGAGAGAGACAGAGATAGATGCAGAGAGAGAGCGAGAGAGAGAGACAGAGATAGACGCAGAGAGAGAGGGAGAGAGAGAGAGATGCAGAGAGAGAGAGAGAGAGAGAGAGAGAGATGCAGGGAGAGAGAGAGAGAGAGATGCAGGGAGAGAGAGAGACAGAGATAGATGCAGGGAGAGAGAGAGAGAGAGACAGAGATAGACGCAGAGAGAGAGAGAGAGAGAGAGAGACAGAGAGAGATGTAGGGAGAGAGAGAGACAGAGATAAATGCAGAGAGAGAGATGGAGAGAGACAGACAGAGATAGATGCAGAGAGAGAGAGAGAGAGACAGAGAGAGATGTAGGGAGAGAGAGAGACAGAGATAAATGCAGAGAGAGAGATGGAGAGAGACAGACAGAGATAGATGCAGAGAGAGAGAGAGATGCAGACATAGATGCAGAGAGAGAGAGACAGAGAGAGATGCAGAGAGACAGAGAGAGACAGAGATAGACGCAGAGAGAGAGAGAGAGAGAGAGATGCAGAGAGAGAGAGAGAGACAGAGAGAGATGCAGAGAGAGAGATGGAGAGAGACAGACTGAGATAGATGCAGAGAGACAGAGAGAGACAGAGAGAGAGAGAGACAGAGATAGATGCAGAGAGAGAGAGATGGAGAGAGACAGACTGAGATAGATGCAGAGAGAGAGATGCAGAGAGAGAGAGACAGACAGAGATAGATGCAGAGAGAGAGATGCAGAGAGAGAGAGACAGACAGAGAGAGAGAGAGACAGACAGAGATAGATGCAGAGAGACAGAGAGAGAGAGATGCAGAGAGAGAGAGAGATGCAGACATAGATGCAGAGAGAGAGACAGAGAGAGATGCAGAGAGAGAGACAGAGATAGATGCAGAGAGAGAGATGGAGAGAGACAGACAGAGATAGATGCAGAGAGAGAGAGAGAGAGAGAGAGAGAGAGAGATGCAGAGAGAGAGAGAGAGAGACAGAGAGAGATGCAGGGAGAGAGAGAGACAGAGATAGATGCAGAGAGAGAGATGGAGAGAGACAGACTGAGATAGATGTAGAGAGAGAGAGATGCAGAGAGAGAGAGACAGACAGAGATAGATGCAGAGAGACAGAGAGAGAGAGAGAGACAGAGATAGATGCAGAGAGAGAGATGGAGAGAGACAGACTGAGATAGATGCAGAGAGAGAGAGATGCAGAGAGAGAGAGACAGACAGAGATAGATGCAGAGAGAGAGAGATGCAGAGAGAGAGAGACAGACAGAGATAGATGCAGAGAGACAGAGAGAGACAGAGAGAGAGATGCAGAGAGAGAGAGAGATGCAGACATAGATGCAGAGAGAGAGAGACAGAGAGAGATGCAGAGAGAGAGACAGAGATAGATGCAGAGAGAGAGATGGAGAGAGACAGACAGAGATAGATGCAGAGAGAGAGAGAGATGCAGACATAGATGCAGAGAGAGAGACAGAGAGATGCAGAGAGAGAGACAGAGATAGATGGAGAGAGACTGACAGAGATAGATGCAGAGAGAGAGACAGAGATAGATGCAGAGAGAGAGAGAGATGCAGACATAGATGCAGAGAGAGAGACAGAGAGAGATGCAGAGAGAGAGACAGAGATAGATGCAGAGAGAGAGATGGAGAGAGACAGACAGAGATAGATGCAGAGAGAGAGACAGAGATAGATGCAGAGAGAGAGAGACAGAGATAGATGCAGAGAGAGAGACAGAGATAGATGCAGAGAGAGAGACAGAGAGAGAGAGAGAGACAGAGATAGATGCAGAGAGAGAGAGATGGAGAGAGACAGACTGAGATAGATGCAGAGAGAGAGAGAGAGACAGAGATAGACGCAGAGAGAGAGAGAGAGAGATGCAGAGAGAGAGAGAGAGACAGACTGAGATAGATGCAGAGAGAGAGAGAGAGAGAGAGAGACAGAGATAGACGCAGAGAGAGAGAGAGATGCAGAGAGAGAGACAGAGAGACAGAGAGAGATGCAGGGAGAGAGAGAGACAGAGATAGATGCAGGGAGAGAGAGAGAGAGACAGAGATAGACGCAGAGAGAGAGAGAGAGAGAGACAGAGAGAGATGCAGGGAGAGAGAGAGACAGAGATAGATGCAGGGAGAGAGAGAGACAGAGATAGATGCAGAGAGAGAGATGCAGACATAGATGCAGAGAGAGTTAGACAGAGAGAGATGCAGAGAGACAGAGAGAGACAGAGAGAGATGCAGGGAGAGAGAGAGAGAGAGAGACAGAGAGAGATGCAGAGAGAGAGAGAGAGACAGACATAGATGCAGAGAGAGAGAGACAGAGAGAGATGCAGAGAGACAGAGAGAGACAGAGATAGACGCAGAGAGAGAGAGACAGAGAGAGATGCAGAGAGAGAGAGAGAGAGACAGAGAGAGATGCAGGGAGAGAGAGAGACAGAGATAGATGCAGAGAGAGAGAGAGATGCAGACATAGATGCAGAGAGAGAGACAGAGATAGATGCAGAGAGAGAGACAGAGATAGATGCAGAGAGAGAGACAGAGATAGATGCAGAGAGAGAGACAGAGAGAGAGAGAGAGACAGAGATAGATGCAGAGAGAGAGAGATGGAGAGAGACAGACTGAGATAGATGCAGAGAGAGAGATGGAGAGAGACTGACTGAGATAGATGCAGAGAGAGAGAGAGAGACAGAGATAGACGCAGAGAGAGAGAGAGAGAGATGCAGAGAGAGAGAGAGAGACAGACTGAGATAGATGCAGAGAGAGAGAGAGAGAGAGAGACAGAGATAGACGCAGAGAGAGAGAGAGATGCAGAGAGAGAGAGAGAGAGACAGAGAGAGATGCAGGGAGAGAGAGAGACAGAGATAGATGCAGGGAGAGAGAGAGAGAGAGACAGAGATAGACGCAGAGAGAGAGAGAGAGAGAGAGACAGAGAGAGATGCAGGGAGAGAGAGAGACAGAGATAGATGCAGGGAGAGAGAGAGACAGAGATAGATGCAGAGAGAGAGATGCAGACATAGATGCAGAGAGAGTTAGACAGAGAGAGATGCAGAGAGACAGAGAGAGACAGAGAGAGATGCAGGGAGAGAGAGAGAGAGAGAGACAGAGAGAGATGCAGAGAGAGAGAGAGAGACAGACATAGATGCAGAGAGAGAGAGACAGAGAGAGATGCAGAGAGACAGAGAGAGACAGAGATAGACGCAGAGAGAGAGAGAGAGAGAGACAGAGAGAGATGCAGAGAGAGAGAGAGAGAGACAGAGAGAGATGCAGGGAGAGAGAGAGACAGAGATAGATGCAGAGAGAGAGAGAGATGCAGACATAGATGCAGAGAGAGTTAGACAGAGAGAGATGCAGAGAGACAGAGAGAGACAGAGAGAGATGCAGGGAGAGAGAGAGAGAGAGAGAGAGAGACAGAGAGAGATGCAGAGAGAGAGAGAGAGAGAGAGACATAGATGCAGAGAGAGAGAGACAGAGAGAGATGCAGAGAGACAGAGAGAGACAGAGATAGACGCAGAGAGAGAGAGACAGAGAGAGACAGAGAGAGATGCAGGGAGAGAGAGAGAGAGAGAGAGAGAGACAGAGAGAGATGCAGAGAGAGAGAGAGAGACAGACATAGATGCAGAGAGAGAGAGACAGAGAGAGATGCAGAGAGACAGAGAGAGACAGAGATAGACGCAGAGAGAGAGAGAGAGAGAGAGAGAGACAGAGAGAGATGCAGAGAGAGAGAGAGAGAGAGATGCAGGGAGAGAGAGAGACAGAGATAGATGCAGAGAGAGAGAGAGATGCAGACATAGATGCAGAGAGAGTTAGACAGAGAGAGATGCAGAGAGACAGAGAGAGATGCAGGGAGAGAGAGAGAGAGAGAGAGAGACAGAGAGAGATGCAGAGAGAGAGAGAGAGACAGACATAGATGCAGAGAGAGAGAGACAGAGAGAGATGCAGAGAGACAGAGAGAGACAGAGATAGACGCAGAGAGAGAGAGAGACAGAGAGAGATGCAGGGAGAGAGAGAGAGAGAGAGAGACAGAGAGAGATGCAGAGAGAGAGAGACAGACATAGATGCAGAGAGAGAGAGACAGAGAGAGATGCAGAGAGACAGAGAGAGACAGAGAGAGATGCAGAGAGAGAGATGGAGAGAGACAGACAGAGATAGATGCAGAGAGAGAGACAGAGATAGATGCAGAGAGAGAGAGACAGAGATAGATGCAGAGAGAGAGACAGAGATAGATGCAGAGAGAGAGACAGAGAGAGAGAGAGAGACAGAGATAGATGCAGAGAGAGAGAGATGGAGAGAGACAGACTGAGATAGATGCAGAGAGAGAGAGAGAGACAGAGATAGACGCAGAGAGAGAGAGAGAGAGATGCAGAGAGAGAGAGAGAGACAGACTGAGATAGATGCAGAGAGAGAGAGAGAGAGAGAGAGACAGAGATAGACGCAGAGAGAGAGAGAGATGCAGAGAGAGAGACAGAGAGACAGAGAGAGATGCAGGGAGAGAGAGAGACAGAGATAGATGCAGGGAGAGAGAGAGAGAGAGACAGAGATAGACGCAGAGAGAGAGAGAGAGAGAGACAGAGAGAGATGCAGGGAGAGAGAGAGACAGAGATAGATGCAGGGAGAGAGAGAGACAGAGATAGATGCAGAGAGAGAGATGCAGACATAGATGCAGAGAGAGTTAGACAGAGAGAGATGCAGAGAGACAGAGAGAGACAGAGAGAGATGCAGGGAGAGAGAGAGAGAGAGAGACAGAGAGAGATGCAGAGAGAGAGAGAGAGACAGACATAGATGCAGAGAGAGAGAGACAGAGAGAGATGCAGAGAGACAGAGAGAGACAGAGATAGACGCAGAGAGAGAGAGACAGAGAGAGATGCAGAGAGAGAGAGAGAGAGACAGAGAGAGATGCAGGGAGAGAGAGAGACAGAGATAGATGCAGAGAGAGAGAGAGATGCAGACATAGATGCAGAGAGAGAGACAGAGATAGATGCAGAGAGAGAGACAGAGATAGATGCAGAGAGAGAGACAGAGATAGATGCAGAGAGAGAGACAGAGAGAGAGAGAGAGACAGAGATAGATGCAGAGAGAGAGAGATGGAGAGAGACAGACTGAGATAGATGCAGAGAGAGAGATGGAGAGAGACTGACTGAGATAGATGCAGAGAGAGAGAGAGAGACAGAGATAGACGCAGAGAGAGAGAGAGAGAGATGCAGAGAGAGAGAGAGAGACAGACTGAGATAGATGCAGAGAGAGAGAGAGAGAGAGAGACAGAGATAGACGCAGAGAGAGAGAGAGATGCAGAGAGAGAGAGAGAGAGACAGAGAGAGATGCAGGGAGAGAGAGAGACAGAGATAGATGCAGGGAGAGAGAGAGAGAGAGACAGAGATAGACGCAGAGAGAGAGAGAGAGAGAGAGACAGAGAGAGATGCAGGGAGAGAGAGAGACAGAGATAGATGCAGGGAGAGAGAGAGACAGAGATAGATGCAGAGAGAGAGATGCAGACATAGATGCAGAGAGAGTTAGACAGAGAGAGATGCAGAGAGACAGAGAGAGACAGAGAGAGATGCAGGGAGAGAGAGAGAGAGAGAGACAGAGAGAGATGCAGAGAGAGAGAGAGAGACAGACATAGATGCAGAGAGAGAGAGACAGAGAGAGATGCAGAGAGACAGAGAGAGACAGAGATAGACGCAGAGAGAGAGAGAGAGAGAGACAGAGAGAGATGCAGAGAGAGAGAGAGAGAGACAGAGAGAGATGCAGGGAGAGAGAGAGACAGAGATAGATGCAGAGAGAGAGAGAGATGCAGACATAGATGCAGAGAGAGTTAGACAGAGAGAGATGCAGAGAGACAGAGAGAGACAGAGAGAGATGCAGGGAGAGAGAGAGAGAGAGAGAGAGAGAGACAGAGAGAGATGCAGAGAGAGAGAGAGAGAGAGAGACATAGATGCAGAGAGAGAGAGACAGAGAGAGATGCAGAGAGACAGAGAGAGACAGAGATAGACGCAGAGAGAGAGAGACAGAGAGAGACAGAGAGAGATGCAGGGAGAGAGAGAGAGAGAGAGAGAGAGACAGAGAGAGATGCAGAGAGAGAGAGAGAGACAGACATAGATGCAGAGAGAGAGAGACAGAGAGAGATGCAGAGAGACAGAGAGAGACAGAGATAGACGCAGAGAGAGAGAGAGAGAGAGAGAGAGACAGAGAGAGATGCAGAGAGAGAGAGAGAGAGAGAGATGCAGGGAGAGAGAGAGATAGATGCAGAGAGAGAGAGAGATGCAGACATAGATGCAGAGAGAGTTAGACAGAGAGAGATGCAGAGAGACAGAGAGAGATGCAGGGAGAGAGAGAGAGAGAGAGAGAGACAGAGAGAGATGCAGAGAGAGAGAGAGAGACAGACATAGATGCAGAGAGAGAGAGACAGAGAGAGATGCAGAGAGACAGAGAGAGACAGAGATAGACGCAGAGAGAGAGAGAGACAGAGAGAGATGCAGGGAGAGAGAGAGAGAGAGAGAGACAGAGAGAGATGCAGAGAGAGAGAGACAGACATAGATGCAGAGAGAGAGAGACAGAGAGAGATGCAGAGAGACAGAGAGAGACAGAGATAGACGCAGAGAGAGAGAGAGAGAGAGAGACTGAGATAGATGCAGGGAGAGAGAGAGACAGAGATAGATGCAGGGAGAGAGATGGAGAGAGACAGACTGAGATAGATGCAGAGAGAGAGAGACAGACAGAGATAGATGCAGAGAGACAGAGAGAGAGAGAGACAGAGATAGATGCAGAGAGAGAGATGGAGAGAGACAGACTGAGATAGATGCAGAGAGAGACAGACAGAGATAGATGCAGAGAGAGAGAGATGCAGAGAGAGAGAGACAGACAGAGATAGATGCAGAGAGACAGAGAGAGAGAGAGACAGAGATAGATGCAGAGAGAGAGATGGAGAGAGACAGACTGAGATAGATGCAGAGAGAGACAGACAGAGATAGATGCAGAGAGAGAGAGATGCAGAGAGAGAGAGACAGACAGAGATAGATGCAGAGAGACAGAGAGAGAGAGATGCAGAGAGACAGAGAGATGCAGACATAGATGCAGAGAGAGAGACAGAGAGAGATGCAGAGAGAGAGAGACAGACAGAGATAGATGCAGAGAGAGAGAGAGATGCAGAGAGAGAGAGACAGACAGAGATAGATGCAGAGAGACAGAGAGAGAGAGATGCAGAGAGAGAGAGAGATGCAGACATAGATGCAGAGAGAGAGACAGAGAGAGATGCAGAGTGAGAGACAGAGATAGATGCAGAGAGAGAGATGGAGAGAGACAGACAGAGATAGATGCAGAGAGAGAGAGAGATGCAGACATAGATGCAGAGAGAGAGACAGAGAGAGATGCAGAGTGAGAGACAGAGATAGATGCAGAGAGAGAGAGAGAGAGAGAGAGAGAGAGAGAGAGAGAGAGACAGAGATAGATGCAGAGAGAGAGATGGAGAGAGACAGACAGAGATAGATGCAGAGAGAGAGAGAGAGAGAGAGAGAGAGAGAGAGAGAGAGAGAGAGAGAGAGAGAGAGAGAGAGATGCAGAGAGAGAGAGAGAGACAGAGGGAGATGCAGGGAGAGAGAGAGACAGAGATAGATGCAGAGAGAGAGATGGAGAGAGACAGACTGAGATAGATGCAGAGAGAGAGAGACAGAGAGAGAGACAGAGATAGATGCAGAGAGAGAGAGATGCAGAGAGAGAGAGACAGACAGAGATAGATGCAGAGAGAGAGAGATGCAGAGAGAGAGAGACAGACTGAGATAGATGCAGAGAGAGAGAAAGAGATGCAGAGAGAGAGACAGACAGATAGATGCAGAGAGACAGAGAGAGATAGATGCAGAGAGACAGACAGAGATAGATACAGAGAGACAGAGAGAGATAGATGCAGAGAGACAGACAGAGATAGATACAGAGAGACAGAGAGAGAGAGATGCAGACATAGATGCAGAGAGAGACAGAGAGAGATGCAGAGAGACAGACAGAGATAGATGCAGAGAGAGAGAGAGATGCAGACATAGATGCAGAGAGACAGAGAGAGACACAGAGAGAGAGAGACAGAGATAGATGCAGAGAGAGAGACAGAGATAGATGCAGAGAGAGAGAGAGATGCAGACATAGATGCAGAGAGACAGAGAGAGACACAGAGAGAGAGAGACAGAGATAGATGCAGAGAGAGAGACAGAGATAGATGCAGAGAGACATAGAGAGACACAGAGAGAGAGAGACAGAGATAGATGCAGAGAGAGAGATGCAGAGAGAGAGAGACAGACAGAGATAGATGCAGAGAGAGAGAGAGAGAGAGACAGAGAGAGAGAGATGCAGAGAGAGAGAGAGATGCAGACATAGATGCAGAGAGAGAGACAGACAGAGATAGATGCAGAGAGAGAGAGAGAGAGAGACAGAGAGAGAGAGATGTAGAGAGAGAGAGAGATGCAGACATAGATGCAGAGAGAGAGACAGAGAGAGAGAGATGCAGAGAGAGACAGGTGGAGATAGATGGGGGGGGGGGAGATGCAGAGAGCGAGTGAGAGAAAGAGATAGGCATAGAGATGGAGAGATAAACACAAAGACTGATACAGCTGGTCAGAGAGACAGAGGCTCTCACACCTTTAATGGTTCATTCAGAAAGATTTCAGTTTTCTTTGGAAAATCTCTGTTTCCTGATCGGAGTTGGTTTTTTCCCTCCAGCTGGGCAGGAACGTGGAGTCCATCACTATGATCTACGACGTGGAAGGTCTGGGACTCAAACACCTGTGGAAGCCTGCGATAGACACGTATGGAGAGGTGAGCGTCACACCGCCACCCTAACCCTGACGAGACACCAACACGGTGAAACCTCTGCTCTTCTCTCACATCAGATCCTACAGACATTTGAAGATAATTACCCAGAAGCCCTCAAGAGGCTTTTTGTTATTAAAGGTAAAAACAGCTGATTTCAGCTCTTTTTACAATCAGAACATTTAGAATTAAACTTTTTGTATTTAAAAATTTCAAGTGCAAAACCAAATATTTGTTTTTTATTGAAGGTTTTTGCTTTTAATCTAATTTAACAGCAATAAACAAATGTCTTCTTTCATTTCAATAATCTGTGTTGAATGTTTGGTTTAACAATTGAAATGAAAAATAAAGCCAAGCTGCCTGTGAAGATCAGCGACTTTCATCTCACACGTTTGGATTTTTCCTCCCGTAGCTCCCAAACTCTTCCCCGTGGCGTTTAACCTCGTCAGACACTTCCTGTGTGAAAACACACGACAGAAAATCTCCGTCCTGGGAGGTGAGACTCCGTCCTGACTCGGAAAAGAGGGAATCCAAAAGCCCGTTCCTCTTCAGATGCAGCACCGACTCCTAATCCCAATCCTAGATTACAACACTTGGAGTTAACGCAACACATCTCACCTGCCTCGCTGCTCACTTATAGATTCATTTGAATATTGGCGTGTTAACGTTTGTTTCCTTTTTCCGGGTTTGCAGCCAACTGGCAGGAAGTTCTGCTGAAGCACATCGACGAAGAGGAGCTGCCGGTGATCTACGGGGGGAAGCTGACGGACCCAGACGGAGATCCTCGCTGTCGGACGCGGGTGAGTCGGCACACCTGCGGGTGCAGAGCTGGGCTGATCAGTTTGAGGAGATGAGTGTCCAGGCAGAAACACACCTGCTTTAGTCGGTCGTCTCTCAGCGGCTGTGTTCGTCCAGAACCCGACGTCTCTGCTTCAGCCTTCAGAATAAAAGCGCAGCAAACCTAACCCTGTTCTGAAGCATGGCACGTCCCTAAAAAGCTGCCCGATGCCAGCCTCAGCTGGACTCTTTACATTCGTAAATAAAAGTCTAGATGGAAATGATGGTTTTCTGTGTGCTTTAAAGCTGCAGGATGTAGGAACAGAGAGAGAATTTTACAGCCAGAAAGTCCCAAAAGAGTCCGTTTCAGTCATGTTGGATGGAAGGTCATTCTGAAGCATGATTCATATCCAGCAGACGTAACTACTGTTTACCATCTGTGTGTGTGTGTGTGTGTGTGTGTGTGGGGGGGGGGGGTCTCCTGCAAGCTAATGCTGCAGCATCGACTGTTGTAATTAGACGACGGCCAGCAAAAAACTCCAGAGTTGTTTAAAGTGGCTGCAGGAAGCAGATTCCGCCGCAAGATGTCATTTTTACTTTCATTAGCAGGCGAGCTAACACAAGTGATCCTGGTTTTACTAAATAAAGAAAATTAATTATATCAGTGATGTGCATGCGCGCACACACACTTTATCTAATTGAATTGAAAATGATGAAAGTCGTCGTCGTCTTCCTCCGCTTATCCGGGTCCGGGTCGCAGGGGCAGCATCCCAACTAGGGAGCTCCAGACCGTCCTCTCCCCGGCCACCTCCACCAGCTCCTCCGGCAGGACCCCAAGGCGTTCCCGGACCAGATTGGAGATGTAACCTCTCCAACGTGTCCTGGGTCGACCCGGGGGCCTCCTGCCAGCAGGACATGCCCGTAACACCTCCCCGGGGAGGCGTCCAGGAGGCATCCTGACCAGATGCCCAATCCACCTCAGCTGACTCCTTTCGATCCGGAGGAGCAGCAGTTCTACTCCGAGTCCCTCCCGAATGTCCGAGCTCCTCACCCTATCTCTAAGGCTGAGCCCGGCCGCCCTACGGAGGAAACTCATTTCGGCCGCTTGTATCCGCGATCTCGTTCTTTGGTCATTACCCAAAGCTCATGACCATAGGTGAGGATTGGGACGTAGATCGACCGGTAAATCGAGAGCCTGGCTTTCTGGCTCAGCTCCCTCTTCACCACGACAGATCGGCTCAGCGTCCGCATCACTGCAGACTCCGAACCGATCCGCCTGTCGATCTCCCGATCCCTCCTACCCTCACTCGTGAACAAGATGAAAGCATCAAAGTAAAAGCATCATTTCTCCTGTTGAGTAAACATAAGTTACGCAGCTGAAGAGCTGGGTGTCCAGTTAACTGCCAGTAATGATGAAAAGTAAAATGGGGATGGATAAAATGATCGTGGACATGCTGGACAGTAAAACCTCAGACTGCAAACATCACAGCTTAACAAAAACCACTCGTAAAGGTCAGAGGTGACTCGTCTGCGGACACCGACTCAGAGTCCTCCAGCTGATCAGCCTCCTCTTCTACACTTGAAGCCACTCCAGAGCTGAAGTAGAAAACAGAAACGCTGCTTTTGATCATCTCCATCTTTGCCTCCACCCACCTGCATCCTCTGCTCTTCTAGCTTATTGCAGTGTTGCTTTAGTGAAACGCTCTCTTGGCTCGTATGCACGGGGAACGCTGGAGGCTTACATTTGACTGGCAAACCATGTTTGACGTGAACACATCCTGTGGTGTATGAAAACAAACGTGCTTACCTAGACAACCCTCAGGTGTGAGCAGGTGGGGGGCATATACAGGTGAAACTGTAACATCTAGAATATCGTGCAAAAGTCTGTTTGTGTCAGTGTCCAGCTCAGACTGAGACACCATCTAAAGGCTCAGGAGCCCTCTGCAGCTGTTCTGGCTTCATTAGCTACAGTAATTAGTGTGATAGTCAGTAAGCCATAATCATCACTATTATAACAGATAAAGGCTGAATATCTGGCTGTAAAGGCTTGCCTCTCAGATTAGTTTTCACCTTTTAAGCTGAATTACTGACATCTTCATCATGATAACTAGGGATGAGCCGGATACTTGTTTCAGACGAGTATCCCGTACGGATAAATCATTTTTGACGAGTACGAGCATGAAACGAGTAAAACTCGTAAATATCTGTAATCGTGCTGAAGGAAAATCCTCATTGGGTAACTGACTGTCTTCACGCTCTGTGACTGGCCAGTCACATAGAGCGCCCGCCCCTCCCTACACACAAAACTCTGCAGCCAGGAGCTCACAGCTCAGTCCGCGTCCGGTCCATCCACGCACACACACCCACACACACACACACACACACAGTAACGGATCTATCTGTGCTTGCTTCACTGTTCACGTTTCTTCAGTACTCCCTATGTTTTCTTCAGTTTGCTTCTTTTTAAAGTGACTTTAAAGTTATTTAAAGTTACTTTTTTCATAACGTGCGGAGTGCATTTGACAAGACAGAGCTGAAAACGGCTCATGCTGCATCAGTCACTGCCTCCGCTCCGGTCAGGTTTTTTTTTCTCTCTCTCTCTCCTCTTCCTCAGGATCCACTCCCTTTTTCCTATTCACTCTCTTTCTTTACATTTTTTAATCACAATTTTCTATTTTTTGCTCATTTTAAAAATATTTTAATCATTTTCTAAATTCTTTTTACATGTTTCGTTTTTGTGAAGCGCCCCGTGATTTTTACCTTGAGAGGCGCTATAGAAAAGATCTTTTCTTCTCTCTCTCTTAATTCATGCACTTAAATATTAATGTTCTGATTTTATTGAAAAACTTGTTCTGTAATAGTTCCTTTACTATTGTGATCAAAAACATTTAATCTCAACTCTGAGGCTGCTCTGTAAATAGTTTTCAAATAAACAATACACATAGCAAATTCTGATCAGACTTAAAATAACGTATTGATGTAAACCACACCCACTTCCGGGTTAGGCCACGCCCATTCCGAGTACAGATAGATCATTTAGATGGTTGAACAGATACAGATACAGATATTGGTGTACTCGCTCATCCCTAATATTTACATTTTTCCATTTTCTCTTGTATAATTACAAATTACCAGAAAAGGAGTTGCACATACGAATACAGACAGCCTACCTAATCCAGCCCGAACAACCAAAATTTAGCCCTTCCTGTCGATGCAAGGCAGCAAAGTACGGCCAAAAGGTTTGGAGAAGGATTGCTCACTCCTCCAGTTCTTATGACTCTGCACCCCTGGTCTAAAGCGTCAGGAGAAGGTGAGCGCACCCATCACTCCTTTTGCCAACAGTAAAGCATCCGAGACGTTCATGTGTGTAGTTGCTTCTCAGCCATGATGAATAAGGATCAGTACCTCCTCCAGGAGGAACTCCTCAAACCATCCAGGAACAGTTTTGTGGTCTTTTCTAACATCAGGGAGCACCGGGTCAGAAGAACTGGATGGTCCAGGAATTCTCCAGACCTTAATGTTAGTGAGGAGTTGTGGTTGGCCTTCAGAGGAGGGAGACAAAAGAAAACCCCACAAACAGTCTCCATGGGACTTTAAAGGTGCAATAGTCCAGCTTGGAAAAAGCCGTTTAAGCAAACTACGTCCCCTTTCTTCAGGCTCCGCCCCTATAGTGAGAGTCTGAAGAGGGTAAAACACAGCTTGCGACACACTCACAAGCTGCTGAACTGCTGTTAAGGCCCAAAAACTTCCAGAACTGACAGGAAGACCAACAAGGAGATTTATGGATGTGGTGAAAGAGAGCATGAAGCTAGCTGGTGTGAGGAGGGTAGAGGACGCAGAATATTACTGATGACTGTAATTATCAGTAAAAATCTTTGAAACCTCTAAAATACCAATTACTCTTCTGTAACCATAGAAACGTGTGGCAAAACGGTCTAAAAAAGCGGTCAACGCTGCGAAAACCAACACATTGTCTTCACTTCTGGCCACAGCTGTAGCTGCTTTCGTAGTCCTGCTTCTGCCAACGTCTTTATTTTATTACTGACTGGTATTTGTTGCCGTTTCTTTAGATATTAAATTGGGCCCAGCACAGATGAGGAACAGAAGTCGTTTCATTAGGACTCCATTCAAGAATGCTGGGACTGACTCGGCCTCAAACGTCTCTTTTCTTTTGTTCCACTTGACTTTTCCTGTAGCTAGCGGTGTGCTCTTGTCTTTGTACCTTAGTAGTTTGGTTAGAGGTCTGGTGTGTGGTATTGATCATACCACACCCATTTGTCAATGTGTGAACTGAAAAATGTCTTCAAATGCATGGAAGCATCTCAAGATGGTCCATCACATCTGTCGTTATTTTTATTGGTTTTGTGGAGCCCCTCAAATTTTTTTTTAGCTTGAGCCGCGCGCTCCGCCAGGCGACGCCTCCTTTAGGCGATGCCTCCTTTAGGCGTGTAGTGTAGGTGAAGTAAGACTCCACCCAGGGTGTGACTTACCCTTTAAGGTTTGGGACCGCCCACAAGAAGGAGAGCGCATCTTGGCTAGCAGAAGCTAATCATTAGCATTAGCAACTCCACAACACAGCAGAACACGTTGGGGCTTGTGTAAGTCCCGGAGAGAAATCATCAATGTTACCTTTTCACCCCGGTTAGCCAATAGGAGACACGTTTGCATGTCATGAAAATTAATGAGTAACCCCGGGTTTCCACAGGAGCCGTCAGCAGCACATTACTGCAGCAGCACGTCTCGCTCGCGTAAGCTGCTGCTTGGCCCTTCCCACGAGACGCGAAGCAGCAGGGGAGCAGCTGTCACCGACCGAGCACGAAGTCACACGAGTGACTTCGTCAGTAAACACAACAACAAGCAGGAGAAAACTAAAACATGGTTTGTGTTTTATGTTCTGTCCGTTTTATAATCGCCAATACGGACCTGAAAAACAAAGGAGACCGCTAGCTAGGTGATAACTTCTCACGGGGACGCACAGTTAGTAACCTTTTTTAAAAGTAAAGCAACCGGAAAGCAGTACGTTCTTTATTCTGAAAATCTCGGGAGCTTCTCTCCATTTCCGCGTCCGATTTCCTGTCTTTCCTTCCCCAAAAATGTCGAACTTGACCCGTTTCAGAGGCGTCGCGCGTAGAAAATAGAACCGGCGCGTAAAGGCCGCGACATGCTGCTCCTGAGACGCGGCCGACTCACGCTGCTGACGGCTGCCGACGGCTCCAGTGGAAAAGGTTCTGTTGACCACAGCGGTTCCTATCAGCAGCTATGACGTGCTGCTGCAGTAACGTGCTGCTGACGGCTCCCGTGGAAAGCCGGGGTAAGACTTGTAAGCGTGCCCTCCCTATTCTCCCGTCTAACTTCCTGAAACGAGAGCACTGGAGCGATTTTCCACAAAAAACAACTCAAGCACCCATTCATACTAAAGACGTCAGAAGGTTTATTGATCAAACAAGAGCTTTAATAATTATTAAAATATCTTCAACATCATAAATTTAGCCTTTTTAGGTTATTTGACTGGTTTGTTAATGGAAGTTCCAGATTAGATTCTTGGAATATTGTTGGGCTAGCTGCATGTGCTTCTAAAATCCATGTCGGTACTTTTTAGTTGTTGTCTTAGACTTTTCATGCTCGTGACTGCCCCCTCAGGCCAACCGCTTAACTGCAGCTGCAATAGTAAGCTCGTGCATGAGGCGTGCATGCTGTACGTGCACGCTCTTGAACAAAAACAGCAGCTGAGTCAGTCCCATACTGGTGTAATTTACAGGTTTAGACTGTTCTAATAAATCAGACGAACAACGTACGCTGATGTAGACACGCTAGACAAGCAGCCTAAAAGATGTTCCTACCATCACATACGGAAAGCCCTCGGCTTGCTTTCAAAGCATCAACCCTTTCCCCCATTACTATTTTATTAGTCAAAATGATTAATTAGTATGATTGAAATGGCCCAAATTGCTTTGATGTGTAAAATAAATTGTAAAAGTACAAATAGTGATATGAGGGCAGATTTGGTGTGGTGATCCAAACCGTTCTGTTAGGACTTAGCTCAGACGACCTGCTCTCCTCATCTCACAGACTCTGTCGTGTTTGTGCATTACCAGCATTTTACAGCAGCTTTCCCCCTTCTCGCTGTGATCCGTCATAAAACCAGAGCCACAGCTCATATTTCTGAATTTGAGTCATTTAGCAGAGTCAGTGTTTAAAGAACCGACAGTGGATTTGTAGCTGGTTTTAATTTCTGTAAATAAATAAATACAACATTTGGCTTTCGTGTGATCCACTATTTCATGCTGAAATTATGCACTTTTACGCAAAAGAAGAAACAAGCCTTATGGGCACAGTAAGTGAAGCTTCTTATTCTTCCTTCAAACCTTCTCAGATATAAGAAAAGAATCCCGATTCCTGCATTAATGGCCGTGTGTCTCTGCTGCAGATAAGTCACGTCGGACCAGTTCCACCTTCTTATTACGTGCGGGACCACGTGAAGGTGGATTATGAGCACTGCATAACCGTCAGTCGAGGTTCTTCCCAACAGCTGGACTATGAGATCTTGTTTCCAGGCTGCGTTCTCCGGTCAGTAAACAATCAGGACATGATGTAAACAAATAAGTATGGATAATGGTGGATAATGGTGGTAAAGCTTCATAGGTTTTCTTCTGATTTCTGCACCAGCTGATCAACCTCATGTCAATTGTCCTCCGTGAATAGTTTGATTCTTCCAGTTTCAGCAGAATCGTTCTCAGAGTTTTTTTTTTACAGTAACGGCTCTAAAGATAGTCTTATCAGATATTCCTGCCATGTGTGGTGTGCAAAGAGCACTCTGGTCTGCTCGGAAAGACGTTGGGACCGCGCCGATCATAAATCGAAGAAATTCAACATGTTTGTCATCAAAGTTCAAGGTTACTTTATTTGTACCCGTTGGTAGATTTGATTTGAGGTGTGATGAATAAAACTTTATTGTCCCACGTTTCACTTTCAGAAACAAACCTTCACAAATTTAAAGAGCAAGTCACCCCCAAATAATTTTTTTTTGCTGATAAACTAAATAAACGAGTGTCTAATAGTGCTGCAGACACGTGTCGTCAATAATTTGGCACTTCAGTGCATCTTAGTTAAAATTTAAATATTCTGCCTAAAACTGGCAGTGTTGTGCCGTTGTCAGGTAAAAACTCTGCACTGTATTTTTGTTTAAATCTGCCACCGCTATTGGCTAAGAGGTATGCTATGATGTAAACTGGTACATTATGATGTCAATGCTGTCATAAGCCTGTGTGTGTGTGTGTATTTTTTAGCAGCTCCGCCCTCTCGGTCTGCCAGGCAACAGCATTTGTTGCATTTTTCAAACATGAAGTGAGAGTGGAGTTAGACTCTGGTAGGGGGTGACTTGCTCTTTAAGTCCACACATGCAAGGGCAGAAGATGCTAACTCCACATAGCTGGGAAGGGAACCAACACCCTTCTTGCTGTGGGAAACAGTGGTACCATGCAGCTTCTAATGAGGTCAGTGGGTCTAAATCTCTCCCTGTCCTCCTCTAGGTGGCAGTTTGCCAGCGAGGGCGCAGACATCGGGTTTGGGGTGTTTCTGAAGGCTAAAAAAGGCGAGTGGAAGAAGGCTTCTGAGATGCAGGAAGTCATTCTCAGCCAGCGGTTCAACTCCCACTTGGTACCCGAGGACGGGTCGCTGACCTGCGAGCGTCCGGGCGTGTGTGAGTGGTGCGGGTGGTTGCTGAGCTAAGGTTGAATGCATCTTGATCCTAACACTCTCTGTCACACACAGATGTGCTGAGGTTTGACAACACCTACAGCATCTTCCAGGCCAAGCGAATCAGTTACACCGTTGAAGTCCTGCTTCCGGATCGGTTCCAGTCTCCACAGACCAACGACGAAAGCTAGTCGCACGTAGCATCAGAATGTTTAGCCTCACACAGTCAGTATCCACGCCTCTAGGTTACATACCATCACCCTAGCTGGCCTTTTTCTGGGTCCACTTGGTAAACTTCACACATTCTGCCCATTAAAGACCAAATGAACGTAGAAGCTACAGGTAGCTTTGTACTTTATGCTTTGCATCAAATTTCCTTTCAATGTTTTCAGCGATTCTAATTATTTCTAAAAAGCCACCAAAGGATTTTGCAAAAAGTGCAAATATGAAGTCTAATTTATTTTAATATACATTTTAGTTCATGCAGCAGGATTTACATCATTAATGCTGTACGTACATGTCCTCTTACAAACATGATGTGCTGTTTCTGCCATGTTAATGGAAGCCACGTGCTTTTATTTTGAAATCTTAGTTTTTATTCTCATTAGTCATTCCTCTTGATTCATTTCTAACCAACCTTCTCATTTACAGTCATTCCAACAGTATGATTCAGTATTTAATAATCGATAATCGTGGTTTTTTTTGTTTTACAATGTGAATTAAATATAAAACGCAGCTGTGTGCTCTGGAACAGAACACCTTGGCTTCGTTGTGTTTCACCTGCTGCTTACCAGCCGTTAGAATCAGCCGCTGCTGCAGTTTAGAAAAAAAGTAAAGAAGGGATTTATTTCTAATCAAACATGTCGATCCGCAAAAACAAGCCTGGGCTGCTCATAAACCGTCTGCTTGAGAGAAGAAAACCCGATCCGGTTATTTCTCTGGAACGTGTTGGGGAGTTTATGGTTTCTTTCCTCTGATCCAAATCATCGTTTAGATTATTTAGATATTAAATTCATGTCAGGTGTGAGAGCAGGTAAACACACTGAAGCACAACGTCCTCAGATTCAGCTGTGATGATGAAGCAACAACGACGACCCTAAGCTGGTAGATCATGCACACCCGTCAGTTTTCAGCAGCGATTTTCACATAAACGTTAAAACGTTTGGTCTGAAAGTTACGTTTCCTCCCACCGACAAACCTCGCGGGCTTTAAAAGTCACTCACCACCTTCTCAGAGCCAGGGCCGACCACAACTCTTCAGATCAGATACAACGAGGTGGTCCTCGGAGGTTCTGCATCAGCTCCGTCCACGATGAGAAGCTCGCGCTCCACCACATCCCAAAGGTTCTGGACTGGACTGAGGTCTGGCGACGGTGGACGCTAGAGTCCAGTGAACTCACGGTCATGTTCTAGAAACCAGTTAGAGACGATCTGAGCTTTGTGACCTGGTGCATGATCCTGCTAGAAGCAGCATCAGAACATGAGTTCATGTGGTCCTAAAGCTCATCTGGTACCATCTCCGCTCCGTTGTTCACTTTGGACTTCAGCAGATCTTCACTGACTAGTAGCCTGAATGTGAACAACTGAACCTCATCAGGTCTACTAACGGGGAACAGGTGTGCTGAGAAGGCTCAGGTACTGCAGAGAAGAGCTTCTAGGGTAGAAGGAGTCGTTTGTGGACTGAAATATCGTCGTAGCTCAAGTCTGACGTTTACACTAAAAAACAAAAACTGAGGCGTCGTAAATCTTTTATGTACAAAATATCAGCACAAGTAACTTTAACATGTCACATCAGAATAACATTTGCTCATTTTCACAGTACGTACACTGAAAAAGGAAATCATAAATCTGGTAGAATTTGTGTAAAATAAATAAATACAAACATGCTTCATTCATAGGCTTCATGCTCTGTAAAGGGTTCTGCTCTTCCTCCTGACGTGGCCCCGCCCCCATTCCTGTCAGGTTAGTTGTTCACTTTATAAAAAGGCTGTCGTTCAGAAGCTTGTAGCGAAAACGTGAGATTTTATTTACAAAGGCCACATTTGTCTTTGACCTAAAACAGACTAACGCAGCTCACAGGGAGCCTAAGTCCCACCCATCTGCTTCCGGACCACGGGTCGACGGGGCTAAAAACGCTATTTCTAATCCCGCTTCTTATGTGTCACGGATTTCACACACGATGTCCGTGAATCATAGAGACAGTCTGATGCCAAGAAAGCGCTTATCAAATGGGGACAAAAGTTATTTTAGGTTTTGTGTGACATTGGCCGTGTTCGAGTTGAGCTGCGCCTCGCCTAGAAAGCAGACGAGAGCAGATGGAAGCAGCAGGGGGAGTGGCTGAAAGCTTTAAGTCGGACAGATGTCCCTACATGTGTAGCTCGGGGGTGACGATGGCTGAAGATATCGCGTTAGAGTTCATACTTGTTTAATTATTTATTTTAATTCTGGTGCCTGTTAGCAGCTGAAACACATCCTCACATGTTTGCGGATATCATATATTGTATATGAAGACATGACTGTAATAATAAGTAAAGGTTATCAGCTGTAGCTTTAGTGTGCTCATAGGAAACGTGACATAGAACACAAAACACATTTCTCTTTATGGCCTATATAGTTGTCATCATCAACGTTACACGATTTACAGAATACACGTGACCAACTAACATTTCATGTTCTACCACCGGATGTTTGGATCAAAATGTGAACCAATCAGATCGTAGATCAGGTGAGAGCCAGGCGTTTCCTGTCATCCTCTAGGTTTTGCAGCCGGTGGAGAGCAACTGCAGCGCCTTGCTCCAAAATCTGCGGCCGCCTTGATCTCACGAGGTTATCGTTGCCTACGAATGCGTGACGTCAGAGCAAGTCGGCGTCAAGTCGGACACAAATCTAACCGGCGTGCACTGCTCGCCGATCACCGCTGGTCTAATCTGCGCAGAACTGGCTCATCTCGAACACAGCCAATAAGTCCAGGACTACAAATACGCATCACCAAAGTGACATCATCGACAAACATGGCTGCAAGTGCGACGAACTTCAAATCCTTCCCACAGCAGGAAAGAACCACCATGAATGTGGTCATGTGGTGAGTAGCAGCTACGCTAGGGGGAGGAGGTTATGTGGTGATGTCACAAATGCGACGTACCGACGTCTGATTTGTAGTCATGCTAGATACGGTGTCGGTGCAGGATCGGCTCGGGGTCCAGCGCCCGCCGATGAAGTCACATGACTGCAACTCTACTCGGCTTTCACAAACGTTTTGGAAAGACATCAGCAGTTTTGTTAGTAAATTCTTGTTTGTTAACACCTAAATGTTTTCTTTATAATTGTAATTTGTTAATAAAACACCATATTATCTTTGTTTTGTAAAGAATGTGAAACTGCATAAAACCAACATCGGACTGAAAAAAAAAAGAACAGTTCTTATATGTGAAGCCACATCTGTTTGTATTAATGTGGAGTTCGTCTGTATATTTCCTTAGTTGTTATCTAAATACACTCTTTGACTCTAAACGTTGCTTGGTGTCTTTCAATAAAGTTCTTATATTTTATTTTGCCCCATTTCATCAACATCAAGAGCTTTTGAGGGTCACCGTTTATCATTTGCTTATATTTTACATTTCCTTTGGAAATTCAAACATATTTTCTCCAAAAAGTGTTGATTTTTGAACTAAAGGACTACGACCGCAAATTTGTTCTGACCAAAATCATAACGTGATAACGTCACTTCCGTAAGCTTCATGTTCAGCCAATCAACGACTCTGACGTCATCGGCAGTCGAAGGACCCCGAGCTGATCCTGTACTGACACCGGACTTTTACAAGCTGACAAATCTCTATGTACACGACTGGCGCGGTCGGAACACCCATCATTAGTTTTCATTCAAATTGAAGAATGTGTGGTCCAGGGCGTAAGGCTGAGCGGTAGGAAAAAAGCTCCTTTAGCCCTGTTCAGGGACCCATGAGCCGACCGAAAGGGGAGGAGCCTCAGGGCTCTTGGCACGTTGTCAAGAGAGGAGAGAAGGTTTATCCCAGATGAGCTTTGGGGTGTAAAACACCAGTGGAGTATGCAGAAACCTGTGACGGCTGGTTGTTTCCCCTCAGAGCGGGTGAGCAGTTAAAAACGTCCCATGATGCTTTGTGTCTGAGTGAAATCAACACATGTAGACTAGACAAGCCCAGGTCCAGGTCTCTCCGAAGCCACGGAGCTAGCCCTGTTGGCTAACCAGCGCCATCTCTAGCTCTTAAAACCACCTGCTATCGTCCCGTCTCCTCTTCAGAGTTTAACTGTCAGTCTTACAGGAGTTTGTTAGAAACTCAAATGTCCTCTTTAGTTGGAAGCTTCAGAAGAAGCTGAAACTCTCCAGAAAAGTGGTGCTCCCTGTGACACTTCCTCTCTGGTTTTAAGACGCACCTGGTGTCCGTTGGTGCATCTGAGTCGTACTTCTGACAAAGCTCGAGCCCAAAGGAAGGGAAAGCTGTTCCGGGTTGCAGCTCAGAGCCATGAGTGCAGGGATGGCTGAAGGCCTAAAAACAATCCTGAGAAAAGAAAATCTAAAATGTCAGATTAGATTAAACCTGCTGTTCATGATGGTTTCTAAAATCTGTGTTCTGGTCTCTTAAAACCCAACAAGATTCAATTTGAATATTAATTACTTGCAGAAAAAAAATGTAAACAATTAGAACTTAAAATTTGAGCATCTTTGTCAAAAAGGACTCATTAGTAAATATATTTTAGAGCTAACCCTGTTAAAGGTAAAGTCCTTAGTGGGAGACATTAACAGTGTTTTCTTTGTTCTGTGAAAGAGGATGACACGGTCACCATGGCAACTGAATCTGACCCTCAGGCAGGGCTTCTGCTCATCTTCCCTCCTCAGCCGGACGAGTTTCAGATTTCAGCTTGACGAACTCCTTGGCCACCTCGTCAGCAGGTCGCTGGGACAGGATACGCATCACCGTCACGCCCGTTTCGTCCGTCCGAACCCGCGGTCCAAGGGGACACCAGCACACGCAGCTCTTCCTGTCGGCGACGTCTCGCAGCTGGACCACGGCCAGGCCAACCACTCGGTCCGCTCGGCCAAAGCAGTAGTCCTTCACCGTCACCTGGAGCTCGTAGCAGTCCGGGGACTCTTTACCCAGGATGCTGCGGGGCGGAGACCAAACATTCAGGATCAGATGCTCTCTAACACGATCAGTCCCTTTTGATGGTGTTATAAACTCCAGACTCACAACTGGAAGGTCTCATTGAACTTTGCTGTCCAGCTGTTGTTTTTTGATTTTGTGGTGAACTTGCGCTTTTTGTCTGCCAGGAAGGGACCCGCCATGGAGACCTCTACAAAAGGTCTGAACATCCCTGATGTCTGCCACTTCATGTCATTCACAGCGATGACTGAGTAGCCACGAGAGAGAAAACAGGTGTTAGGACCAAAAATAAACAAGTTTGATGTGTTAACAACTCTCGGTCTGACCTCTAACGTTGACCTTGCGCTCCTTGCCGAGCATCATGTCGACCTGCAGGACAGCCTCTCCAACCGGCTTCTCTACCCCCGAACCTATAAAACACAAACTGTTTACTTTAAAGTGGCAATATTTAGTTTTCACCATTAATCTCTGGAAATATCCATCAAAATGTTGTTTTAAAGGGACTTTTCGGACGTTTGAATTTTTATGCTCGCGATTGCCCCCTCAGGCCAAAAGCGTAACGGCAGCTTCAATGGTAGGCTCGTGCACGAGGCGCGCATGCTGTACGTGCACACTGCTTACCGAAAATAACAGCTGAGACAGTCCCGTGTGTGTGTGTGTGTGGCCCGGAGGACAGGAGAACGCGCAGCTAATTAATTAAATAATTTGGTTCTGTACCTTTCTCTTCAGCACAGCCGACAAAGGTTTATGATGGGTCAGTCCTCCTGCATGCTCAGATCATTCCCTTCCCTTGCTTGAAAAATTGTTCCAAAATGAAAGTTGAACCCACATCTTTTTTATCTGTGAATTCAATGCCGTTCGGCGAGTCTCAAATAAAAATTTGGGCATCTTACTGTAGAAAAAATATACCATTAATGTAAAAAAGAAACTCTGAATAAACTATGTTCACATCCAGAATCAAACCCAGGACTTCTGCACGGGAGTCCAACGTCTTACTAGGTGAGCTAAAGCGCCAGTGACATCTTTAGTATCTGTAACATTTATATCCTTGATGACAGCTGAAACAACGTTCAAAGAACAGTTTGGAGTGAAAATGACTATTTTGTTGCTAATTTGCAGGAAATATCTAGAAGAAAGTTCTACAGAAAGTAGCTAAGGGTCCTCAGAAATGTAGCTAGCTTTGTCACTAGGCGTTAGGAACAGCGACAAAGTGGCACTGCCTCTCTCTCTGCTGCTAAAGCTACGGATAGCAAATGCTACGGGCTATGCCTGAGCGTGAACGCGCATGAAGCAGCCTGCTCGACCCGAGCATCTCTCTTTTTCTGTGATTTTACAGAAAAACAGGCAATCACAGTAAAAATGCCAGGGCTCATTCTACAGGACCAGGGCATTGCAGGAGAATGTATGAAGAAGACATTTATTATTTCTATTCATGTTTTGGCTGTCACACTTCCATAATGCCCCTTTAAATTAATGAAATAACGCCCTGTTGTTGAAAATTATTGCCGGTTTCATAACACATAACCATAAAAATCTGTTCTGAAATGCACGCCATATTGGACGCCATGTTTCCTTCTACGGAAGCCCGTGAGGACAAAATGCATTTACTGATTTGTAACAAACGGTTACAAAACTTTCATCATTCATAAATGAAGCTGGCACTCGCAGAGTACAGACGCTTCTCTTTTTGCTCCCTTATCTTTTTTTCCCAAGGCTCTTTGTCCTGTCTGCCCACAGAGCGCTTCTCTGCATTTCTTCTGAAAAACCCTATTTTTAACCATGGATTTGATGAACTGGTCATTCAACACGATTGATAAGATTTTTTCAACAATGAGAACGGAGCAGGGGGCTCCCACATGTCCACAGGGGACGCACCCGGTGGGGTATATGCTGGATTCCTGGAAGGAGTAGAAGATCATATGCCTCAGCCAGCTGTCCAATGAGGATATCGAAAACGTGTGGTTATTCGGCCTGATGATCACTGGATTTCTCCTGATTGGAGTGGGAGGATATCTGGTTTTCTGGAAATTTGGGAAGACAGGAGCGATTGGAGGGCGACCCGCACCCACAGAAAGCACCGACCGTGTGGAGACTTCTCAGACTGGGACGTTACTCGAGGTGAATCGTGAGCTGGACAATGTTCTAGCTGCGATACCGGTACTAGTGCGCAAAATGGATGTCATCTCGGGAGAGTCACCGGACGGTATGGACAGGTTTAAAAACCTAAATTGGCTTCACTGAAGGACTGGAAATGATCAGTTTAAAGACTGAAGGCAGAGAGGAAAATTATCTCAGCCTGACCTAAACAAAGTCTTGTTATCTGAATCTGACGGCCTGGCAGCCGAGCGGTAAGCAACAAACCCCCACGAAGGAATGCAGACAGATGCTGTGAAAACCCGACCTACCCCCCCCCCCCACCCTCGGATTGGTGGACTTCAGCCTGGCGAGGTCATCAACCTGCAGGAGTCAATGTGCTCCTCGCTTCTCCCAAGATCTCCCTCCCACCTGTGGCTACAGTGGCTGAGCGCCGTAGACGGCTGCTCTCGCTGGGGGAAAACAGGATCCCAGCCCCCCGCCTTCCTATTGGAGTCTCATGTTATGTTGTGGTGTCTGAAGTCTTGCATATCTGTGAGGTGTTTTTTTGCAGAGCAAAGCTGCCCTCCTGGTGGGAGGGTAGCTCTGAAGTGCCCTTTTTCCCTCCACCTGAACCAATCCTCATGTAACCCTCTTATCTCTATTAAGGTAGCGCGACTCAGGGTTGCGAATGGCCACAGTCACCAATTCTAGTCATGTGTCTTGCCCATGTATGTCTGATCTCTGAATTGTGTGTACTGAAACTCTAATTTCCCTCTGGGATTAATAAAGTATCTTTGATTGATTGATTGAAACGTTGTTTTACATGTTTACCTCTTCACTCGTTGTCAGTGATGAAAGGGAATCTGATGTTCTTGTTCTGTTGCTGGAGGTCGTTTTCCCAGGGATTTTTGACCCTAATGGCCATCCATTGGTAAAGTCTTACTTGAACACAAAATAATGCTTGCTTGCAGTGATTTTGGTATCTACTGCCCCCTATCGCCTGGCAAAATACACACAGTCACTTCAATATTGCTACCATTATCGGCCCTTTTTTCTCCCTTTCAGTTCTTCATCAGGTTTTTAAACATGAGTGAAAAATAAAATATGAAAAAAAAGATTAAAAAATGTTATCTATTGGCTAACGTTACTAAAGCACATATGTTTTATTATGTAAATGTAAAACAATATTTTAGTGATGAAGAAGTCAAATTGGCCCACCTGTAGGTCCTCCACCAGGGGGCAGCAGACTTGCGTAGGACTGGATATGTCAGGTTTAAGATGGAGGTACTAATCCTGACTCTGGATGCAGAACGCTGCCGGGTTTATGAAGCGGACGTTTAATCTGGATACATCTAATTTGACGTTTAAGGCCAACCGTTTACTGTGTTTGTGAAGTTGAAACGACACATTTTAGCGTAAAGCTGAAATTTGTATTAATTCTTTCATAAACACAACAAACTTTTATTATTCCTGTATTAATTATTGTTTTATTTTAAACCTTTTGGACTTGAGCAGAAATGAGACCAAGTCTTTGTGTCTCAACTCAAGTTTTGAGTCACGTCCTAAACTTTGCTTCCGAGTCTTGAACAGGTCGTTCAAACGGATTTATAAATGAACGACAAAGTAAAAACAAAAACAAGTCACTGATGATAAGAAGGTGGACGCGATGCTCTAAACATATCATTTAGTCAGACTTGATTCACATCTGAACACAATTCAAAGTAAAATGTTGTGCTTCTATGTTTGCTTAGAGTGGAATTATTCACTACAAATAAAACTTAGATTAGAAACAAGCCGTCCTTAGGGGGTGATGGGAAGAAACGACAAAGTCTGACTTGTGTTCACTCCTCTGGTTTTAGATTAAATATAAAATAAAATAAAAGATTTGGTTGATATTAGAATTCTTTAGAACAAACCAAAGAAAAAAGAACCAACCGTCAGGTCTGATCTTCTCGCTGCCGGTGATTCTGATGCCCATCCCGTCGTGCACTGAGAGGAAGAAGACAACAACAGAAAGGAAATAAGCACCAAGATCATTCCAGCTCATTTCCAGGAAGTATCTGGGATCACCTTGGGAATGTTGCGTTGTGACGAAAGTCTTGATCAGAGCGTCGGTGCTCTGGGAATAAAGCGACAGGGCGTAACGCAGCGACGCAAGCTCGGGACTTTTCTCCACAAACGCCTTCTTCAGCCCGTTCCCACCAGCGTGGAAGTATTGCTGAAGGGAAGGAAAAAACAATGATCTCTAAAACGTGCAGAAAGAAGAAAACGGCTGAAATGCATCCTTTATTTTGCAGTTTGATTGGACGTGTGGGACCTGTTCAACGTAAGAAATGAGACAGCTGTGGGTCTCCACCCACCTTGATCGTCTCCAGTCCTGCATCGATAACCGCACACTGCTTGGGTGTCAGAGTTCTGGCTTCGCCTCCCTAAAAATCAGAGTTCAAATCCAAACATCAGACAAAACGATTCAGTTCTACGATGCGTTACGGCTCCCAACGTTGGTCTGAAGCAGGAAAGTGTTACTTCCATTCCGGCTGGGATTATTGGGTCAGGTCAGGTCAGGTCAGCTGATGCAGGAAACCAAATCTGCTGAGGAGCAGATCAGGTTTCCAGACCAGAGATCAGCTGGTCACGACCAATCAGTGCATATTATCAAAACAAAACATGGATGAATGTTTTGCTTCTGTCTCTCCAACTAATATCACACCTTTGGTTTCTCCACAGAATAAAAGATCAAAGTCGTTGTTTTTGATGTTGTTCGTGGCGCCGCCACACCTAATCCCAGTTTCTGTAATCTGTCCGTTATGCCTGCTTTTCCTCTGCCTGACAGTTGATGGGTTACCTTTAGATTGGAGAGTCCTTTAGCTGCTGTGAGGATCTGGGCTCCCTGTAAACACAGAGAAGGGTTAGGGTTCTTAACCCGTTTAGCATGAAAGAGAAACACATAGCTCCACCAGCAGAGGTCAGCAGAGTTGGGGTTAGTTATGAAAACCACATTGCTCATTAGTCTGGTGCACTGTGGGTAATTATGGACGTGAGTGTGACTCGGAGGACGCAGGTCTAGGAAAGAACATGTAAAAACTGTGTTGCTGTGTTGACTTTAGGCTTTAACTTCTAGTGAACGCCCGAGGCCTTGTTGGGGTTCAGTTTGCTCTCACCAGGCTGTCGTTGCTCTGAGGAAGGACGACCGTCTTCTCCAGGCTGCTCAGGACGAGCTTCCACAGATCCTTCAGGATCCGCTTCAGCACCGTTTTCTCACAGATGTCAGCGAAGATGCTGAGCCTGGAGCACAGGAGAAAAAGGAAGCTTCTTTTAAAAGCGGTTCATCGTGAATTCATAATAATCATCCAATAACAGCAATATAAGAATAATAACGCTCATGGGCTCAGCAGCAAAAACACAAACGCATTCAATTCTCTGCTGAAGAAACATTTGATCCATTTCTGGGTTTCTCTTCCGTCTGCCTTTTAGTGATGTGCCGGTCACGAACGAACCGGCTCTAAGAGCCGGCTCTTTGAAGTGAACGACGGGAGCCGGCTCGTCATTGGGAGCCGTCCCCTCCCCCCTTCCCTCTTGCTTTGGTGAAAGCTGCAGGCGATTGGTCAGAGCAGTGGGGGCGGGAAAGAGGGAGGATCAGACTCAGACACACAGCAGAGCACATGCGGGTGGAGGGAGACGAGAGGGAATGAGGAAGAGGAAAAAGGCGAGCGAGAGAGAGGAGAGTGCGACGAAGACGGTGAGAAAATGAGCGCCAGCGGTCGGAAAGTGGATTAAAGTGTTCAGTTATTAAATCCATAGAAATTAAGTTTGATATATTGCATTATTTTTACATTAGTAAATTATTTTACATATAGTTTTGCATTATTTTGGTTCTAAATGTACTCAACGCAACAGAAAATCTGAGGAGCCACTTGGGAGCCAAAAGAACCGGCTCTCTAAAAAGAGCCGGAATTCCCATCGCTACTGCCTTTGGTTCGCTTCACAGCAGCTTACTTCTCATCCAGGAACTCCATGAGGGGCCTCAGCGTGGAGTCGGCATCTGCCTCTGCGGTGTTCTGGTTGGGCGGGCCTTTCATCTGGTACAAGATCTCTGCCATCTGACGCACGCAGCCGTTTATACGAGTCTGGAAGCTGGAGAGAGGAGATCAGCTTTAGCACAAACAGCTCCTTCTGTTTGTTCATGAACTTTGACCCCAGCATTCAGGTTGAAACAGGACGTGAGTGTTACCTTTTGGCGAAGATGACGCTCAAGTTGTCCAGGATGGTGCTGAGCTTCACCTGCAGGTCATTGAGGATGTCAGCAGCTTCCGTATCCAGCTGCAACACAGGAAGACGGGTTAAGTCACACGCTTAGGGTCGGTTCTGCAGCCACAACCAGGCTGAGCGTCTGATGAGGCGCACGCTGTCCCGCTCCACTCCTGCAAGGCCAGACCCCAGCAGCGAGCACATGTGGGATTATTGTTTCACCAAAATCTTGTTTGTCGTTGACGAGCCTCAGTTCGGTTTGAAAAGGAGACATCAGCTGGTTTTAGTGCATTTATCTCAAGTAAGGTCAAGAAAAGATACACAAAATAATCTAATGGAACATAATGATACAAGGATGTTCAAACAAAAGTGCAGCATTGTCAGCTAGACACTAACACTAGTAGTTCTGCTGCTGTAAACCAGACGTGAATCTGCGCCTCCAGCCGTGAGTCGAACAGTAAAATCACCCATCCATGTTCACCAGTCTGTGTAGGAGCCAATATTGTTCTGGGTTAGATTATAATCTGGTTTACGTTTGTTGCACTTGGTTTATATTTCTTTCGAAGTGACCAAGTCACTGCTTTGCAAGTCACAAGTCTTTCCAGTCAAGTCTCGAGTCAAGTGCAAGCCAAAGACAATCAAGTTCAAGCATGGATGTAATTTGGGGGGGCATGACCCCCCACTTTTTCCAAAGTCAAGGTTTGACCCCTGCACTTTTTAACATCCAAAAACAATATTACGCTCATGGACATAATTTTTTGGGGGGACAGGGGGGGCATGACCCCCCACTTTTTCCAAAGTCAAGGTTTGACCCCTGCACTTTTTACCATCCAAAAACAATATTACGCTCATGGACGTAATTTTTGGGGGGGACAGGGGGGACATGTCCCCCCCACTTTTTCCAAAGTCAAGTTTTGACCCCTGCAATTTTTACCATCCAAAAACAATATTACGCTATATTAAATTGACACTGGTTGAGCTCTAGGACCAAGCGGAAAACAACCGTTTGTGTTGAAGCCAGTTTCCCATCAGAGCATACTGTAAAGATACCGCCCCCCCCCCCCCGTGTCCCCCCCACTTCTAAAGTGAAAATTATGTCCCTGAGTTCAAGTCGAGTCCAAAGTCAATGATGTGGAAGTCCAAGTCAAGTCCAAGTACAAAACGTAGAATTTTCTAGTCATAATCAAGTCATCTGTCCAACTTCTTTTTAATGACGATGATAATAAATAAATTCCAGAAATAAAACTTCTTAAAGCTTCATTTATTTAGTCAAACAGCAGAAATTGAAATAGACGATAAACAAAGTGCTGCTGCACTCAGCAGTAAATCAAACCCAGAACCAAGAACGATCCATGGCTTTTGTCCATGTCGGGCCACTTTTGTGCTAAAATATCAAATATGCTCAAGTCATCATCAAGTCAACGGATGCAAGTTGATTCAAGTCGCAAGTCGCTGACGTTAAGTCAGAGTCAAGTCGTAAGTCTTTATAGATTTTATCAAGTCAAGTCAGAAGTCATGACTCAAGTCTGATTCGAGTCCAAGTCATGTGACTGGAGTCCACACCTCTGATCTCTTTCAACCACTGGTGGCACTGTGGAGTCTAGAAGTGTAGAGGTGGCAGGTCACACGGATTTTGCTGCTTTATTGGTTTTCATTACACAAATTAGCCGTTATAATTTTCATCGTTTGCATGAATCTCAGTAAGAAAACGCCACGCTGAACTGTGCACTCCTGATCATGGGAATACAAGCCCAAATGCACCTTTCGTCTGTCTGGACAATACCGTTGCAGCGAGTCATTGCCTCCACCCGCACCAAGTGTGACTAAAGGTAGGTGTGGATAGTCACCACAGCTGTTTAACAGTTCTCCATCAGGAAACACCAGCATGCAGAACGGATCTCAGCAGGGGAGACGCTCTGTCAAACGCCAGAGAGACTCGGAGTGCAGAGTGCTGCAGCAGCAAAGACATACATGCATTTTCAGCTGTGAGGAATCCACGGAGACGGAAGAGGAGCTTTTTCATCAGGAGTGTCTCAACAAAACACTCCAGTCATTTCCTCAAGCTCAAGTGAGTATTCAGAAACGTGAGGGGCTGAAACAGGAAGTAGAATCTGAGCTTTTCTCTCTTGTGTTTGAACGCCTGGAGACATCTGGAAGAGAACGCTCAACACTAATAATGCAGAATCACGGTAAATAGGCTGTTTTGGTGACTCGATCTTTACTTTGATAGCAACCAAAGTTCTTCACAGACGCGGCAAAAACACTAAATCTACCACAAAATCAATACCTACACGAGCAAATAACGAGTTCCGCAACCCCCCGAGACACTTTACAACACAATCAATCATCCACCCATGTACACACACATCCACACTCTGGTGGTGATGAGCTACAACGTAGCCACAGCTGCCCTGGGGGCACTGGCAGAGGTGAGACTGCTGAGCACGACCACCACCAGCAGGCAAAGGGCGTAAAGTGTCTCACCCAAGGACACAATAGCAGCTTTCTCCGCTGATAGCCGGAATCGATCCTACAACTTTCCGATTACTTAAAAACTTGCATCTGAGCTGCTGCTGACCGACTTTAACTCCAGAGAAGGAGCTGCGGTCTCCTGCAGGACGGAGCGGCCTTCAGCAGCCTCACAACAGCCAACCATTAAATCTGAAGGCTGCAGCGCATTAGCATGCAGGACCTGGGCGGACTCAGACCGTCCAGCAGCCAGCAGATGACGCGTCCCAAACAGCTTTTTATGGAAAGCGTTTCATCCAGAACTCTGGAAGTGTTATTAGCCAGAAGACGCCTGGCACGCTGCCAGAACATGGAAGTGGACTAAAAGGGGTCCGTGACTTTCAAGTGACAGCGCTGGAGTCTCCTGCATGTTAATTCTGAGTGAGATGAAAGGTGGCCTGTTTGGTTTGAGTCCAGTATTAAAATGCACAGCTGCATTTATGTGAACCTCCACTGTCAAACATATTTATGGGTGCATGAGAGTGCACGTATGACTGAAATGTCCTAGAGAAGTTCCCAGAGATCTCCGATACTAGAGGAGATGTTGAGTAGCTAGCTACTTGTCACGATTAAACGAGAAATAATAAATAATTCATGTGGTTTTTGGGTTTTCAGAAACAGAAAAACATCTTTTGCTGTGATGAAAGACGCGGGTCGTAAAACAAAGATCAACCGTCATCAAAAACAAACGTTTATACTCTTATTGTGGTGCAACTGAGGGCATGATGCAAACATCTGGGATTTAAAAACAGGAAAATGCAAAAAATGGTAAAAACTCACTTTAATATCATAAGAGGTGAACAACACACACACACACACACACACACACACACACACACACGCACACATACCTTAGTGACAGCAGCAGCAGCTTCAGTCTTCCCACAAAGACAGAAAGTAAAATAGAAAAACAACAAAAGGAAAAATGAGACAGCGAACAAAGAAAATGGAGCAAAAGTTCAAACAGAAGGAAAGAAGAGGTCTACAGGATATAAAAATCTCTGCAGTATTTTTTAAATTACTTTTGTTTTTCACAGAACTTTTTCCCTTTCCTCACATTTTTAACTTTTCCCAATTTTTATATTTTATAGTAATTTTTTTTTCACTTTTTTTGAATTTTTGTTTTTTTGTAAAGCGCTTCATAATTTTTTATGTTGATTATTTTCTGCTAAATATTGTGTGTCTAATGTGAATTTGGTCGTTTCCAAGCAGCATGAGTTGATTGACTCTGCTCACCTCACATTATGTTTTAAACAGTTTACCTATAAAAGGGTTGAAAACATCCGACTGGCAAGTGTAGCTCAAAAAGAAGAAAAAAGTTAGTGCAGCGACCGGGAGGTGAACTTGTGCAAAACTACAAGTCAGTCTGGCACTCGAACGGCTGGAATACCGAGTCACTAGTCACGTCAAACGCCTAGCCATGAGTGGCCATTACATGCAACTTTGGACTCACAGCGGCGTTTTGTCCCTGGTGCAGAAGTAAAATGTCAGAAATCCAGGTTTAAGAACTGAGACCAGATTCAGGAGGAGGAGAAACGCCTGATGACTAAAGCGGGCTCATTCCTCCTGGATGCAGGAAAAAACTTTCCAAGGACCAAATCAAAGCCGAGACAGGAACATGCATGAATGCAGCAAAAAGGTTTTGGATCTGGGTATTTCTCACGAGGAAATGACGGATTTTTCATGATCTAAGCCCTTTTACTTAAACAGCACAAGTCACTTAGTTTCTGTGGTGGAGCTCTGCTGAGCTGCAGGAACGTGGGTGGGGAAATTTAACTCAGACTGAGCAAACAAACCTTGTTGACTTCGTCTTTAGCCTGTTGGGATAAACAACACACCAAAAACAAATAAACACATCATCAAACGACCGCCTTTACAAGCCTAATTATTGGGCTTAAAGCATAAAAACACACGCCTCAGCTAGATAAGGACTTCTGGAAAATGGGAATAATGATTCTGGGAAATCTGCACGTAAACAGAGTCAGCAGACAGAACTGCTAAAACTACGGCATACACACACACACACACACACGCACACACGCACACACATGCATACACGTGCACACACACACACACACACACACACACACACACACACACACACACACACACACACGCACACACATAAACACACACGCACACAGGCATACACACACACACGCGCACACACACACGCGCACAGGCATACGCACACACACGTGCACGCACACACAAACACGCGCGCACACACAAACATACACACACATGCACGCACACACACATATACACACACGCACACACACACGTGCGCGCACACACACACATGCACGCACACACGCGCGCACATACGCACACACACGTGCATACACACACAGGCATGCACACACACACACGCATGCACACACACACACACACGCACACACGTGCACACACATACACACATATACACACACACACACACTTGCGCACGCACACACATGCGCGCACACACACACACACACACGTGCACACACACACACACACACGTGCACACACGCGCGCGTACACGCACACACACACACAGCCATACTGCATAAGTTCTGGTGAAATGATCAGATTTCTTGTTCTTAGATATAAAATAATAATTTATTATTAAAGAAATGAAACCCGTGCAGGTTATCTAGCTCCCACCTGTTTGCTGCGAGCCTCCTCCTTTGAGCAAACACAGGAACGAAAAGATGAAAAAGCTCTTAAATGCTGTGAAACCAGCCATGAATATAAAGTTGATGTAAAAGTCTCTGCCGCTACAGAGATGGACGACTTTCTGCAGATCAGAAACAAACCAACCTGCTTCTCTTTGTCCTTCTTCTCAGTCTGTAAGGACACACATGTGAAAGTGAGCAAACATCCATGGGCAGCAACAACAACAACAACAACAACAAAAACAGCAGCAGCAGGTTCATTTCTCATGTGCTCCGAGGCGAGTTAGGAACCTGCGGACTCTGAAGCCCAACTGGACCAAAAAACTGAGATGAATGAGAAACAGTCGACCGGTGAGCTTCACGTTGACCCGTTTCAGTATTTCTCTCCTGAACAGTTTCTCTGACGCTCTTCAGGGCGTTCGGAGCACAGCAATTATCTCTCTCTCTTTTTGTCCTTCATGTCTAACAAGATGTTCTCACAGCTGCTTTCTTAATGAGCTCACATGTTGCTGTTTAATGCAGCAGAAGACCAAATCTGTTTCTAACCCAATTATAAAATATCAGGTCTGACTGATTATCTTGATATCCGATCATCTAAATCATCTGCAGCCTTTTTACTGGAACCTTATTTGCAGCAGGAGCAGAAAGCTTCTTTGCTGCAGTGACGGTAGAGATGCTCTCAGGTTTTCAGCCTCAGTAAACTCCAACAAGAGACTCTCCACCCAGACAGGAAGCAGAAACATTTGGATGCTCTGAACACGATCGGCCCCAGAAGAACCCCGTAACCCACCTAGACCAAATCTAGGTTTCTTTTGTGGTCGTGAAAAACACTTAAGGAAGCGGGAGCTTCACAGTTACACCCCAACAAGCTGCAAACACACCTTTTCCTTCCTGGACTCAGACTAGAGACAGAAAAAAGAAAACAGGAAGTAAGAAAAAAAAAACACCTAAAAATGTATTCTACTCTAAAAACTGTGAATATTTATGGCTCACCTTTTCCTCTTCAAGCTTTTCACCAAAGAAATGAACCAACGAAGGACAAAAGAGATTAAACCATCAAACAAATAAAGATTTGAGGCAGAAATGATACGGTGTGTGTGTGTGTGTGGGTGGGGGTGGGGGGGCTGAGGAAAGGCTCCAAAAAACATGCTTAATGATCAAAGATTAAAATTAAATCTCCATTTTTACAGGACGTCTTTCCAATCCTTTCAGATTAAAAGCATGTTCCCAGAAGCTCTGTTGGAAAAACCTCTCCTGGACACTTCATACAACTAATCTGCGTCCCAACCACAAGACTAACAACAACTAATGGTCTGATTTTATATTATGTACTTGAATCTTTACACCAACCAACCTTCTCCTTCTCTTTGTTGTCGACCTGAGAGGGGACAGATCAAAGAAGAGTGGGACGGTTTTAGTATTCATGGACACACCCACCCTCTGCATGAAAAAAGACCGTTGAGCAACAAAAACCTGAAAATATAAATAAAATCTGGGAATCAGAAAGAACACCATGATGTCTGGGTTGCAGGTTCGAGCCCCGCTCAGTCTGTCACTGTCATTGTGTCCTTGAGCCAGACGCTTAAGCCCCCTTGCCTGCTGGTGGTGTTCAAAGGGACCGGTGGTGCCAGGGCAGCTGTGGCTACATCGTAGCTCATCACCACTAGTGTGTGAATGACTGTGTTGTAAAGCACCTTGGGGGGTTCCAGGACTGTAGAAGGTGCTACATCAACCAAGTCAACGGTTCCACTAAAGGATTAATGTCTCGTTGCCCCTT